CTCGTATTACAAACATCACATATACCCTATTATTATGAAACTGATTGCGTATCCGGAATGGGTTTGTTTTTGTAATTGAATTATGCATGGCTCATGTTGGTCTGAACGATGCGATTATTTGAAATCGCATTTCCTTTGCACACCCGCATTGCAGTCAGAGGTGAGTGGCACCTGGAACCACGCCCCCACACCCCACAAAATCCAATACGATCGCAATCAACTCGATAGCGAGTGGCTACAATAAAATGCAGACAAAGTTTTATGTAAAATGCAAATGACACGACAAGTGGCAGAGGCCAGAAAAAGCGCATGTGCTCCCAAATGTCCAAAGTTGGGGCCAAAACAAAAATCTATCAAGCGCTGGTCAGCCCAAAAGTATGCTTGCAACAAATGTTGTAATAATGTGGCAGGCACATTTAGCTATATGTGTATATCGGTTATTAAACTGTTTGTGTGTAGTCTAGTGTAGATATGTTGTTAGCCATTTGCCGGTTTCGTTAGCGAGTGCGGTTTATGGATATCAATGAACTTTAAATTGCAGTCAACATGAAATATGCAATTGCAATTGTGCACGCCTAAAACCATGCAACACACGTGGCATCGGGCATGAGGCACTGGCAATAAACTGGCGCCCGCCAGACACATTTATAGGCAAATTTCATATTTCATATATACGCAAACATACACACACACACACACATTTATATATAAACATCAAAAACACGCGCGAATGTGACTATTGACCGTCTCCAGTCATTTGCGTGTGTGCGTGTGTGTGTGTGCGGTGGGTGGGTGTGGCAGGCGGCACTGTAAGCACTGGCATAAATAACATGGCTTTAGTTTTTCATCTTGCTTTTCTTTTTAAATATAATTACAGTTAACACGCAGCCGAAACATTCGCTAACTAAATTGCCAACAAGCGGCGAAAAACGCGCGCGTTTTCAGCTGATGCGCGTCTAAACACGCGAGCGAAACGCTTGTTAGTAGCGTGTTTCAACTGGCGCTTGTTTCTTGTTGTTTTTTTTCGTCTTTTTTTGTTTCTATTGTTGTTGTCCTGCATTTATGCAACTTGTTGTTAATTACTTATTAATTATGCCAGCGATTTGCACATTTTCATTGGGAATTCTCTTTAAGAGCGCTTTTTATACATGAGCGGTGATTTTGATTTCGAGCGTTTTGTTAGCGTTTTATTAGACGCATTCTGACGGCGTTTCATAACACATTTTCCTTTGCGCGTCTTGATCAGCAGCAACAGTTTGGGCAACACTCGAGCTAATACGATTTTCGGCAGCTTCTCGCGTCGGCAGCAAAAAACACAACCGCTCGCCACGAACGTTGTCGTTAGACTGAAACTGGCGGCCACAGCGAATGCCGCACGAAGCAGCGCGCCAGAAGAGCCGAAGACATGTGCATGGGACACAGCAAATCGTTGTCCTCCGTTGCTGGCGCTGCTTGGCTGTCGGGTTGCTTGACGGTCGGGTGTTGGTGGGTGGGGTGAGCATGGCATTTACCGGTGGCAGTTGCGTCGCGAACGAATCAGACAACTGTGATTTTTGTTGTTGCTGGCTACATTTTATTTGGCTTTTTGTTGGTGGCCGCTCGTTTCACGTCTTCTTTTTTCTAACTTTTGGTTTTATTTGTAATACGAGAGTGTGTGCGTGCGCGCGCTTGTGTGTGTGTGTGTGTGTGTGTGTGTGTATGAGACAATGCTGGCGCGCTGCCCAATGGGGGGTGGCTGCTGAAACTCACCACAGTTGAACGAGAATTGAATTGAATGCCACTCTTGTGGGAAATTTGCTCTGCATACTTTACGTGAGCGCGCCTTTTCGTGAATTTATGAATGAATTTCTGTCTGTATGGCGCTTGTAAAACAGTTACATGTGAGTATTGTAATGTTGTTGCTGATGTTGTTGCTTTTGGCGAGTGCGTGTTAAGCAGAAATTGATTGTCATTGGTCATGGCATTGACTGGCGGCACAGCTGCTAAAACTAGCAACAAGAGTTGCAAATCTGATAAATAAGACCCACTGTTGTTTATAAGTATATATAGAGCTGAATCCTTCAAACTAATTACATTACTTAAGCAAAAAATCAACGCCTAACAGCGGCGCACCGAAGTCCAAATACCCCTGAGGGGCTTTTATAAATATTTGGCTATTAATTGCATTTTTCTGAAGCAGCTATTTAATATAAAAGTTAAATTTGAGAATGTTATCTAGATACATATATAAGGCGCAAGGTGAGATTCTTAGCTTGCAGCAGAACTCATAAGGAAAGAAGGGGTTTCGACGCAAAAACCATATTTATAGAGCTTTACTAGAAAATTGTCTATTGTCAATTAATCAAGCAGAGTTTTAAGGAACTTACGCATTCAAAATAAAGCAATTGAATATTTGAATTAATTATTATTTTTAAGCATTGGCAAAAACCTCAAATGAACATTTTCATCACGAATTTCCTACATTCATTATGAAAATTATTCAAAATTGATAACAATAAATATAGCATTGATACCCTGCATATTTATAATACTGTTCTAAACAATTTTGACCACCTAAAAAAAAACTCCTCCTTAACAAAAAACTGGCATGTTACTGTTTTATTGAAAGTTTATTATAAATACAATTTAATTTAATTGTGCTTAAGCATAGAAAACTTAGCCTCACATCTTTTTAAACAGTTTTCAATATGGGCGCCAATAAGTATGCTATTATTCTTTGTAGTTCGCACGTTTAATTAATTTCATGCCCAGCTGAAGGCATTCACGACATAAAAAACAAACTTTAAGCGTTACGTTGGGCACACACAAAAACACACACACACACACACACTCGCACTTGGTAGACGCTTTTCAATAACGGTATCAGATTGTGTCAGGCACCGCTTGGCTGAGTTGGAGTTACCTATATAACCCCCCAATCCCCCCTAGCTCGGCGCCTCATTTGCCAACTTAATTGCGCACATATATCAGTTTTAGTTGCTTGAGGCGGGCGGCTAATCAAACCGCCCACGCCGCGCCCTCGCACCCCCTCGCTGCTGGGGCATGGTTAGCCTATCATTTTCACACAACACACGCACAGGGCCAATAAATAATGCAAAACAAAAAACCAAAAAGAAAAACAAGTAGTAAAAACCAAAAAAAAAAAAACAACATCGACTGCAGCGTAAAAATTATTGTTATGAAGCGAAAATATTGAAAAGGATATCCGCGTCCGGCGACGTCGTCGTCGTCCTCATCATGGGAGCTGCTCCTGTCCTGCTCCCGTCCTGCTCCCGCCCTGCCGCACCTGCTGCTCCATTCAACTTTGCATTGCGTGCCAATGCACTTGCGCCACAAATCATTTTGGGCTGCAAGTGCGGCGGGGCAAAGGGTTAGCCTGCCTGGCAGGACACCGACGCCGGCTACCCTAGGCCCGACCTCGCCCCGCACAGCACTTGTTTTCAAGTTTCTTTCGCTTCCTTGGCAACTTTTTGTGTTGCTTCCCAGTTGAAGTTGTTGTTTTGGTCCCGTTTTCGGGTAGACTAATATAAATTTTGACACCTGATAATTGCTTTTCACTCGCTTCCGCGTTCTGCGACGACGACAGCTGCAGCACACACTAACCCACCCTCGAGCCTATACACCCCCTTCTTACCGCCTTGTAATTGTGGATGAACATGCAAAGTTCTCGGCCTGATCCGGGATCGGGAATGTGCGCAGAATAGTTGTGCGAGCTACTGCTCCAATAAATTATAACTAAATTTTCATTTCTGCATTTTTACGATGCGACGCGTTTAATAGACAAAGTTAGCCGGAGAATTATAGGCGCAACCTTGATGGCATTTGGCCCACAAAACGGAAATTGGCAATTAAAAGTGCATAAAATAAGCTAATTATACGAAATGATGTCAGCTAAGCGAAACCCATTAGCACAAGTGAAATGTCCTGGACGAGAAATAATGCACGACTCGATAGGATTTATTCGCAAAGAAACTTGTGCGATATTATGGTGTCTGCACAGGAACTAATACATATTCCTTTGTCTTGATCTAAAATTCCAAAAGCACTCTCTATTTATTTAGAAATTGATTTTTTGTTCGGCTCAATATGAGCGCGAAGTTTTAAGGATCCAACACCGAAAATACATTATTTCTTTTAATTTTAAATTAATTTTAGTTAAACATTAGACTCGGACAACGCCGGGCTGTTTCTTCTTCTAATGAATAAATAAATTATAAGCTTTTATTTAGTTGAGTTAATATACAGTCATTTTTGTTATACATTAGACTCGCGCGAGTGCAAAAATGTTGTTTAAAATTTAAATTAAAAACTGCAGGTGAAATATTTTAGAGGTTAAGTATAATTAGAGGTTGCCTTAAACATTTGGATAGTAGTTTCGCAGTCGTATTTAAAACTCTTTCACCTTTTTCTATTATCCATGTTTAGTTTAAATAAATAATGTCTGTCTCATTAGATATTTAGTATGCCTCTTGTCTTGGGCTGGATTTGGGCACACTGGCAGCTTTCGAGCTCAGCTTAGCTCTCTCTCTCTCTCTCTCTCTCTCTCTCTCTCTCTCTCTCTCTCTCTCTTTCTTTCTCTCTCTCTCTCTCTCTCTCTCTCTCTCTCTCTCGCGCTCTCTCTCTCTTTGAGTTTAAGCTTTGATCAGTTATAAAATTGTCATCTCTCACGGCTTAACTCTGTTTATGTGTAATATATGGGCACACTGGCAGCTTAAGAGTTCCGCTTAGCGCGCTCTCTCTCTCTCTCTCTCTGTCAGAGGCTAGCTGCTATTTATTTAGCTCTCCTACTGCAACCCAAAGACTCAGCTCCACCGATTCGACAAATCGAGCTGAATTAGTTGCAGCTTCGATCAGTCATAAAATTATCCTCTCTCTCGGCACTAGCTCTATTTATGTGTAAGACTTCGGCTTAGCTCTTTCTCTCAGCAAAGCGAGCTCTCCCACGACACAAATACTCAAACGCGATTCGACAAATCGAGCTGTTTCAATTGAAACATGGGATCAGTCATAAAATTGTCGCCTCGCGCAACGGTTGCTTCAATAATGGATTTGTTTCTGTCAATTTGCATTTTGATTTTTTTATTTCTGCACGTATTCGTCAAATTTTTACAGTGGATCGGTCATGATTTAAGATTTATTTATGGTCTGCTCATGTGCTGCTTCAGTCCATGTTTCAGGCTATGCAAAAAACTGTGCCAACTGTTGCGGCATTTATTCGAATTAGTTCTGGAGTAGAGCGTGCGAGTTTTCAATGTACAAAAACTATTTGTTTAAAAGTGCAAAATATTGCAAATAATTGTTAAATAATTGGTGTTTTTTTTTGTTAACAAAATAAAGGTTAAGAATTATAAGTTTGGAATTTACGATTTCTTTTTAATTATGTAAGTATGTCATTAATTTTGTTTGTCAATAATTTAAATGTTCTAGTTGGATTTCCATAAAGTATTTATCGAAAAAGTATTTATATAAAAACATGCCACAAAATCATGATCTAGACCAGACTTTGATTTGGTTTAATTAGTTTTTTCTGCATAAGAATCGCTCCACACATTCCACTTTTCATTGAACTCAGCCATTTTTCGAGAATTCTCAAATTTCTGTTTTCGTTTTAATATATGAATAAAAAATTGCGATGAACTTTCAAAAAATTATTGTTTTTGTTATTATTGTTATAAGTATTTGATATAGTGCGAGTTGATTCTCTGCAATCGGGTGAAGCTTGAGGCCGTTCGGTCAAAACTTAAACATTTGCCTGCATACTCTATGATATGGAATGAAATTTAACAAAGATCTTTAAATATTTGTTTATTTAACAAACAGAAAACAGTCAAATGACTGTATTCCATCAATTTTCCACTCTTGTGTGTGAAATGCTCTTCAGCTGTTTAACAGCCCATAAAGTAACAAGAGTACAAATTTCAGCTTTCAGCTTTTTTGATTTGAGCTGTGCGTAAATAATCAATCAGTCAGTCCGTCAGTCAGTCAGTCAGTTAGTCAGTGTAGCAGAGCAGAGTCCTTTCTGGTTTGCCTGCTCCTGATTAATGTCACCCACACATTATTTCAGGTTGCCTGCGAATGTGCAACAGTATCGTTGGGTTTCTCTCTCTCTCTCTCACTCTTTACCCCCGCACTTCCCCTATCGACACCCTGTTTCACAGTTTCCGTAACTAATCGCTAAAATCAGCAAATGCGAAGCTGAAGCTTGCAGCCAGCCTTTGTTGCCAGTCTGAACACGCAGTCATAAATTTAATATGACACCTACAAGAGTTTCCATGCATCAAAGTTCTCTCATTTTCCAACTCCCCCCCTCTCTGTCTCTCTCTCTCTCTCTCTCACTTCCGCTCTGTCTGGCTTGTGGGCAGCGTGCCGCAGTGTTGCCAACTGCAGCTTCAGAAAATTAGCCAAGTCCAATGTGCAAAAATAGCTAAAATAACTGCTTCAGCTTTTTTAACACATTAACTGACAATTGTGATTGATATAAACAAAAAATAGCTAAATCCGTTTTATATTTCAGTTGTTTTCGACTGACGAACTACGAAAACAGTCTAATTTAGCTGGAAACTGGCTGATAGTGCTGGTTATTCAGCTACAAAACTAGCTACATTTGTTTGAGATTTTAGCTAGGCAACAATGGCTAGAATGTCAAAAAAATGCCAGGAAATACCAAAATTATTTTAAAATTGTAGCAAGCCAAAGCTAGAAAATAGCTGAATGGCCAACACAGGCGCTTAGTGATTGTCATTTAAGTGCCAGAAAACAGCTAAATAGTTCTTAATTGTTGTTGTTTCCGTCTGACAGGCTGTGAATATATTCAAATTTGGTTAAAATTAGCTGTTGTCTATTATGTCCAGATGCCAATGTTGCTTATTTTGTTTTAAATTTTAACAAGCCAAATGAAACTGAGAAATAGCTAAATGGGCAGCACAGGCTGCAAGTGAGCTGCAAAAAGACAAGCTCTAATAATAGCTTAAAATTTTAGCTAGGCAACACTGGTGGCGAGGATTCTATAAAAAGGTCAGAAAATAGCTAAATTATTATAAAATTACAAAGCTTGGAAATGGCTGAATGGACAACAATAGTGTTTAGTAGTTGTCGTTCACAAGCCAGAAAGCAGCAAAATTATAAAACTGTGTGGTCGGCACGAGTCCTCCTTGACTGGCCGGAAAATAGCTAAAATATTATTATATTAACTGGCCATATTTAGCAGCAAAAGAACAGATTGGACAACAATTGTGGCTAGTAATTGTCAAGAACATGCCAGAAAAGAGCTTCATCTGCTTAAAATTGTAACTAGCCAAATTTAGCTAGAAAATAGCTAAACGCGCAACACTGTCTGCATCACATCAAGTGCATTCATTATTCACACATATTCTGCTAATTAGCAAAATATTGTAAATGTTTGGATTTATGTGAGCGACACACACACTCACACACAGACAAGCACACACACACTCACACATACACTCTCACACACGCATACTGGAACCAATTGCTGCAGGTAGAAACAGTGCATCAAGTGTGTTGCCGCACGGGTTTTTGGTCAGCTCACATGCTCATGTGTCTGTGCGTGTGTGTGTGTGTGCGTGTGTGCGTGTGTGTGCGTGTGTGGGTGTCATTTGTGTGATTTAGTGCCCGGAGGTGTCAGTGTCGGTTGACGGTGACTGTGCAGCAGGAGCAGCAGCAGCTGGGGCAGCTGCTTTGCGGCGTCTATAAATTTTGGTTTGCCTTTCAATCGACCGCCAAAAGGCTTCAATTTGATTGAATTTTCTGCTCACATATCGCGACGCCAGTTTTCAGGTTTCAATTTCTTCCGCACTGGAGCGTACGCAGTATTTGTTTATGCAGCATTATTTTGCTTGAGTTCTGTTATTGTTTTTATTGAATTTATTTACATTCGGCGCGACTGTTTGTCTGAAGTCGATCCACACGCAGTCGGACACCCTCGCCGGGCACCAACAGTAGGTTCTTGTTGCTAATGGCCAGCTCCTTGGGTCCGTCGGGCGGCAGGCTGAAGCGGTAGGTGCTCAGCAATGTGATCAGGCCCACCTTCACCTGCATGCGCCCAAAGCGCAGTCCGATGCAGTTGCGCGGCCCATCGCCGAAGCCGAGGAAGGCCAACGGATGACGCTGCTGGCAGGCGGCCGCCTCGAAACGTTCCGGTCGAAATTCATGGGGTTCCGGATAGATCTCCGGATCGTAGTGTATGGCACGCACCGGTATATGCACTTTAATGCCGCGCTCCAGCACTATGTGCCCGTCCGAATCGTAGCCCTCGTCGCTGGGCAGCTTGTAGTCCTCGGAGGGAACGCGTGTCAGCGAGGCCAGAGCCGGATATTTACGCAGAGTCTCTGTAAGAGTTTATTATTGATCACAGATCTTGTTGGGTAAATATTGGGGCAATACGATGAATACCCTTGTAATTATATAGGAAGTCATTCAATCAGTCAGTCATTTAGTCAGTCGGTTTTATATAAGGAGATATAGGTATAGCCGATCTGGCCAACTCTTGCTAAGAAATGAGTTTCCATGAAGGTAGACTGAGGCACAAGAGGCACACAGACTTGTCCATATCTACTCGGCCCCTGATACTGATAAAGAGTCATCATCATATAGTTATATAGTATTCAGATTAGTCTGCTTCTTGCAAACGCTTTCAGACTTTGAGTCTAATAATTGGCTCAGATTGTCGGGCCTTCAGCTAATATTTTTGATGTGAACTTTGTTTCTCTAAAAAATCGTCTGTGTTTTGTTTACTTGTCGAGATTATTTTGTTTGCTTTCAGCGCCGACAGACTTGTTCAGGGGCCGAGTTCGACAGTTTGTTAAGCAAATATTTTTGGCTGATTCAAACTTTTGTCTTCTGTCCAGATGTATCTAGAATGTTTGTTATCTAAAAGCCTTATCAATTGCCAGGCAAGCGACTATTGCTGCTTATCTATTTCGTTTCGAGTTTAAACTGAGCACTAACCGTTTATCACTTGATCCAAGTACGGCATCTCCATCATGGCCTCGTAGGTTAGTTTTCCATGTGCTTGCAGCACGCGGCGAATTTCTTCTCTCAGTTTTTGCTGTATTGATTGATTTTTGGCCAGCTCGAAGAGCGCGTAGCTCATGTTGCTGGAGCTGGTCTCAAAGCCGGCGACAAAGAAAACGAAAACCTGTGCGGCCAGCTGCTCCACGGACAAGCCCATCTTCTGATCCGTGCGGCGCAGATCGAGCAGCAGATCCATGAAATCATTGCGCCTAATTTTCTCGCGCTCCCGCAGCTCAACTGTGTCGCGGACCAGGCGCAGAAAGAAGTCCGTGTACTCCTGGTCGAAGGTGCGCGTCTTGATGTGCAGCCTCAGCAGAAGTTTCACGTGGTTCACCTTGAACAGATTCCAGCGCACGTTCCGCTTCTGATTGGCAAACAACTTGCGTGCCAGCACCCGAAACTGAGCCTGCGGATCCTTGAGGCTGTTGCACTCAATGCCAAAGGCACAGCTGCCAATCACATCCACCGTGTAGCGGCCCAGCAGATCGTGCAGCTCCAAGGTGCTGCCTGTCTGTGACACCTCCTGCTCGAAGGTCTCCTCCAGCTGCTGGGCCACGCCGGTTATTGTGCTGAACATGTACTTGATCTTGCCGCTGGTAAATGTGGGCGACAGCTTAGTACGCAGCGCCCGCCACTCCTCGCCGTGCAGATTGAACAGATGGCCGGCCAGCGGATTCTCTGGCAGATTCAGCGGCGTATTCGAGCGATCCACAAATTTATTAAAGTCCTTAATGAGTATGGCCTTCACCAGATCCAGATCGGTCACCACGGCCATGGGCCGTATAAATAGATAGGTGCCAGCCACGCGGCTTTTACCCTTGAACGCGTCGTAGGTCTCCTGCAGCAGCTCGCTGAGATGCACGGACTTCAGCTTGAAGAAGTGGCCAAACAGAAAATGTGGACGCAGCTGCCGCACGCCCTGCAGCTCCCAATAGTTGTAGCAGTGCCGCAAATAGCCCAGCACAATTACGAGCAGCGAGCTCAACAAGACCAGCGTGAAGTCCATTGTTGAATTGAACTGAAACTGAAACTGAAACTTTAACTAAAATTGAAACGTCAGATGCTGCTGCAGATCAACGACTGAGTGACTGGGCGCTCTCTGATATATTTATATGCGCTGATAAGAAGTAGACTCTAGACTCTAGACCTAGACTCGTCGTTATACTTTATCATTCGCTTGACGACTTAATGACAATGCTCTGCAGGAGGGTAGCATTTGGCTGTTCTGGCAAATTGTCACGCTTGATATTCGTATGCTAAATGGTTGAAATGCGGCAAAATGCATTTTTGAAGTAAAAGCCTTGTGCTTTGATATGCATACATTTTTGTAAGGCATATCAATGATCTACAAATTGCATTAAAATCGGACTGTAAATACCGAAGTTATTCAAAAATGCATTTCTTGTTGGATTAAATATAACATGCATTTGATTGGCAAAACATTTAGCTTAGATGCTGCTGGGCCCTGCTTGGTTTTTCCAGGCCTTATCTTGAAGAACGACTTCTTAAGCTAAGACTTAAAGTTAGTTAATTTCGTGATCTTACAACGATCCCAACATTTAAGACCTACTTAAAAATATGATAAAATGCCTTACTGGAATGTTTCATAACACAGATGATTTTATTATGTTTGAAGTGTTACAATTCTTAAAGGGTATTTTACATGCGGTATACCAAAATTGTCTAGGCAGGCCCATTTTCCTTTGGTTTTATCTACTTGCAATGGGCTTGCAAAAATGATGTTGACGTCACAATATGCAAATATTTAGCACGCGTGCGCTTGTATTAAGATATAGATAATATATTATAATAAATTATGTAATTTTAAGCAAACACTATTTAACACTTTCACTATTCACACCCGAGTCTTTGGAGTTAGACATATAGAAAGATGCTCAGTAACTTAGCTGATTAGCAGCATACTTTCAGATAACAACTATTATCTTTAAGCATATATATATTTTGGCACAATCCAAAAGTCTGAACAAATAATAAATGCTTCACAGTCTGAGTCAGCGCAGAATAAAAAACATTTGAGCTTAAGCAAATAAATTGCAAGCATTTGTGTCGCCTGACGGTTCGGTAAACATTGAATTTCACACTGATCACGGGGAAATTGAATGTTAGATATGGCAAAGAATATGCAAATATATTTTCAAAGGTATACTTTATTCAATTTGTATATGTACATGGTATCTCCGATACCATAGAATATATATATTATAGATCATCATTAACAGCAGCATCATTTATAAAGCCATGTCCTTCTGTCTGTCTGTTTTTATGCGAACTTGTCTAAGCCTTTTGAAATATTTTGAATTAAACGGAACACTTAAAATTTAATTAGAATTCCAATTCTTAGGCTTTATTTAAATGTCAATAATAAATAATAAATGAGTGTTTAGCTAAACGAACACGTGGTTCAGTGATTTTAGAAATTCCAACCATAACTTTTGAAATGTGTTTTTTATTAGTTTTAAACTTAATTTCAATGGTTTGCGTAAAAATTGATTTGATACGTTTTTTCGAAAAATTTACCACTCTTGGTTAAAAAGTACGAGTCATTGGTTAAAAAACGAAAGTTTACTTTTCGGTTTCAAGCTTTTCACCACAAGACTAACATGGGCGGATACCGTTTATTCAAACTGTTTTTTCTTAATTCTATCTTAAACATATTTTCAAATATATATATATATTAATTCGCTTATATTTCTTCTAGAATTATTTATAAGTAATTATTTTAATTCTAAAAACCTTCTTTTACATATTTTACATTGTTTTTTTTTTTTTACATTTCTATCCATTTCAATAGATAAATTTTAATGGCGGCGTTTCTACTTCTTGTCAAAATTTAACATTGCCGTTAACTGTTATTGTTAACAGTTACAAAAAAGCTTAGAAGCTTTCAAGGCGCAAAAGCTCATTTCATCTAAGCTACGGCCATGGTGAAGTGTGTTCAGAAAGCTTTGGGAAATTTTCAAAGCTTTTGTAAAACTCACCACATTGTCATCTATTCCATTTAAAATATCCTTTATTTTCCTTCAGTTTTATAACCGAAAATATATTTCAAATTATAAACTCATTTTCCTTGGTCAAAACTATTTGCAGATTAAAATGCAACTAAACAAATATTGAAGATAATTAAAATATAGTTCAAAAACCATGAAAATAGGTGGAAATGGAAACAAATCGTCAAATAAACTGCGCGATTCAGATGTCTGACAGAGCAGACATATGAATTGTGTGCTTATTGACACTTTTTCTAACAAATTAACAAGCCAGACAAACAATTTATTGACAAAATAATTTCAGTTGAACATCATTAAACGCATCAGTGACATGCATGTGTGCATATGTGCATTTATATATATTTGATTACAATGCAAATTGACTTTCTCAGTTGCACGATTAAATAACAAACATTGTGTCATAAATCGACAGGTGTGCAGCAAACAGCCTAGAGGACAGCTCGGCTGAGTTGACACCTCAATAAATTGTAAATTAATTGTGCACGTCGTTTGGCATGAAGTAAGCCTCAAAAAGTGCTCCCTACCTTTGAGCCCAATATCGAAACTTTGCCAAATGCTTTTCGCACACAGTTTTCGCCCAATAGGTTGTCAGCGCTTTTACCTTTGTGTGCGTGTGTGTGTTGCGTGTGTGTGTGCGTGTGTGTGGCTGTGTGGTCTTTGTCGGCGCTTGGTTAGGTGCCGAGAATTTCGCTCTCCATTCTGGCCATGCGGCACATGCTCTTATTAACTTGCCTTTTGTGTGGACTGCCGCGGGAAAGGGCTAAAAGGTGGCAAAGGGGTGAAAGGCACAGGCGATTGCATAATCCCACACATGCCAATTTTTTCTTCCTCTCCTTTTTTTCTTTTTTTTGCCATTTGCGGGGCAACGCGTGTGAAAATGCAACCAAATTGCCGCGGTAGCGATTTTTACGACCCGCAGCGCTTTCCACATAGGGTATATTGACTAAGGGGTCAGCATGCGCTAGCTGCAGCAGCTGAATTTCACTTGCACAGCCCACTTTGAACTTTCTTTAGCTTTCAGTTATATCGTTTAAACAGACATAAGAAAAAAACAAGAATTCTCTTTGCTTGTCTTAAACAAGCTCTGAAATTATTTTCTGTCAGATTCTTTAAAGGCACAGTTAAATTTATTATTTATTAAAATTAGAAAATATTATTCTTCAAAATTTAAACACATAATTACAAAATGTTCTGAAATATCTAGGAATTACTTATTAGAAATAAACGAAAATTAATATTTTTGTATTCAAAATGCCAACTTAATATTTTTATAAACCAAAGTCCATTATATATCGTGCATTTCAACAAAGCTCTAAATTTCGGTTTAGTTTACAGGGTATCCTCTAGTTAAGTGCCGTTTTTTCAGTTTATTTGGGTTGTCGGTCCTCGTATACCCTTGAGCAAAAACTAGCCACGTTGGACATGCTTTTAATTGGCCGCTCGTGAGTTTATGAGGGCAGCAGCAGACATTTAATTTATTTTAATAATTATGTACTTTTTTTTTTGTTATTTAATTTTGTAGTAGTTAGCTCTGCGTTTTTTAAATTAAATTATAAACTCGCTGGCGTTACGCATTTTTTTGTTTGTTAGCTACCGACCTCATAATGAAACATTTTGCCATGTGGGCCGATGGCGTAAAAAATTGATGGCAAACGTAAACAAACTTTTGGCGTGGGCAAGCGGCGAAAGGGCAAGGGGCAAAGGTTTCGGGATTCTGCAGTTGGGCACATATTTTGTGGTTCATAACATTTTGTTCATTTGCCGGCATTTCTAAAACGCGGATTTAAAAACAGGTGTAGTCCATGGGCGGCGTCAGCATAAATTGTGCTGGGAGTGAAATAGACATAGATCAATGGATATAAATATAGATATTCATATGCATAGATATATCTATGTAGATACATAAATATATAGATTGAATGATGGATAGATGAATCAATAGACGGATCGATAGACAGATCGATATGAGATCTATCGATAGATTGATAGGGGCATAGATTGATGGCGCAATTAATCATAAAATCGATATATAGATAAGTAGGTATTTAGATAGACATATAGATAGATATATAGATAGATAAATAAATAAATAAATAGATAGAAAGAAATATAGATATATCGATAGACAGATCAATAGATTAATAGATTGACCAATATATTGATCGATTGATAGATTAATAGGTAGATTAATAGATAGATAGAAATGGATTTTAACTTACTTTGCACAAATCGATACCTGTGAATTTTCGATACGATTGTGACTTAACTCAACAGCTCATTCATTATTGATTTAAATTTTCTTGCAAATTAAATTAGTTTTATTTATATAATTCTGAAGAATGGTCAACAAATAAATTGTTGAATTGTATTCTTGAAAAACTATGCTTAGATTCCTTTTGGCCTTTGTGAACCCTATGGAATTTCGACCCTTGTGTGTCGCTCAAAGCTCAATTTGGGTTGCTGGCTCGAATTGTCAATTACTTAACTGATTTGCAGTGCTGGCTGATTATTTTTACTATTACGTTAATTTGTTTGCGTTAATTGAAAGCTAGCAAATTGAAAATGTGTCCTTTCTCGTTTTATTCAAAGTTCGGTTTAAATAATTAAAGACGGCATTTTTATTTGTTTCTTTTGAAATCAAAATTACAATATATATATATATATATACGTATATTTATATTTATATATAAACAATGTTGCGGTGCACGTAAAAGAAGCTTAAATGAGTCTTAAATAAAATGGGCTCTAGCAACATTTCATTGACAGTTGGTTGACTTTTGTTTGACCACTCGACTTGGCCTAGATTTAAATGTAGCTTTAGTTTCGGTTTTAGTTTTAGTTTTAAGTTGTGGTTCGTTAGCTGTTGTACCTATTTCATATACACAAACCGTAGTCAATGCTAAGCTTAAAGACTTCCATGTAATTTTTAAATTGCGATTCGCATCGAATTTTACATGCTAATACTTTGTATTTCCGTTGTATCTATCAGAACCTGTGTGTGTTTGTGTGCGCGTGAGTGTGTTTGTGTGTGTGCGTGTGTGCGGACAGCATTCGAAAACCCTTTTTCAACTTACGCGCTAAACAACAACAACTTTTTACATTTATTTCAATTTCAAATTAAGCACTAAATAAAAATGTCAACTAACATTTTCCGTGTGGCCAAATCGACATGTGACATTTTTCGCTTACAAACTATTCGCTTAGGATTACGACATCATTTTCTTTTTGTTGCTTTTGTACAAATTACACTTAAAGTTTGCTACATATTATTAGGCCTGCCACGCCCCCACGTAAACAGCGATGACTAAGGTTAATAATTTGGTGGATCTGCGGCTGTTGTAGAGCGGCCCAGCAGCAGCCCAGCCCTTGAGGTCCTGCATGCGATCCATTTCATCGGTCAGCGATTTGGCATCGTGTTTCAGCGGGTTGTTCTTGCCATCCGCTCGATAGGTGGCGCTGTTATCGGGCACTGGGTTTAATTGATAGAGAGTAAAGCATATCGTTTGAATTAGAAGATGTATAGATAGACTAGAAGCAATTAACCGGCGTGGCCTGGTTCAACTTGCTGCTGAATTTGAGCCAGCGATCTTTCTCTTTTTAGTTCAATGCTCAGACACATTAGTCCGCACGTTTGCCTCCAATTCAGTCAGTCATTCAGTCGGGACAGCCTCACTTATATATATTGATTGACTGATATTTATGGCTGGATATGATTGTCTGGTTCTGGGTCTGGTCTGGTTGCTTAATCAAAAGCCGCATGCCTTTATTTTACGTGCCTGGTTTTTATGATGTGTCCTTTCATAACTCTGGCCGCCATATTGCCGGCAGTTGGGCTGCCAATCGAATGTCCTTTTTCAATTATGCGCTTGCCACACGCCAGCGAGCATAAACAATAGACAGGATGCGTTTATGGCCAGTCATTTGTAGCAAGCGGCCAATGCGAAAGGATAAAATACACACGCACACACACACACACACACACACACACAGAGGCAGGATGCAGGGCACAGCACACAAAACCAAACAGTTTGTTTGTCAAGGCAGACCCCAATGGAAACGTATTGCATATAAAAAGGACAAAAGTTTGACTGTATTGCCGACTGCTCCACTTATTTATAACATTCGCACTTATACAGTTTTCCATTTTGGTTCGAAAATCGAAAGTATTTTCCCCACTGGCGCACATTTTGTTTCAATTTCACTTGGCAGCTACGAAAATTGTTTCGATTTTTATTGCTTAAGTGCGTTAAACCCTTGCGCCAGGACATGCACTCCACAAAGAAAAAACAACAAGTGAGCAGCTTGGTTTGGGGGCCTCTTGTTTTTGCCATCAATTTATCCTGCAGCTTTTTGGGTTTTTTCTACTGCTCTTGTTTTTTTTTTTTACATATCTGTTTTGATGCTTTTTTGTTTTATTTTTTGCCTGGTTGTTTGTTTTCCTGGCAATCTGTTTCATTGGACAGTTTGTTTGTGTGTCTTGCAGCTACGAATGTGGTGCGCATGGCTCGGAGCAGGCAGCTCCTGCTGTCGGATTCTTGAATATTTTATTTATTTGACTTGCTGTAGGCAGCAATTGGTCATTAGGAGCCTTGTTCGGAGCCGTGCGGTTGCGGCTTGTAGCTGCAAACTCAGCTGCCATTTACAATTTACGCAAATTGGCGACAAATTTTAGAGTAAATAAAAGTCAATATCCAACGATTATTTGAAGTACCCGAAGCGGCAAATACACTTGGCCTCGCAAAAAGACATAATCAATAAAGTGAAAATTATTTATCTCTTACTATATTACAGATATTGTGACAAGAATCAACGCAAAAATAATCAGAAAAGCTTAATCCAAGCTCCGACACACTCACTTTTTTAAGGTAAGCGATGTTTAACTACATTTTACTTCTTTGTTTAATATTTTCTTGAACTATAACGCACCAAAGTAAAAAAGGGAGAGTAGCTCTTGACGGGCGTACCCGACTAGGCGATACCCTGAACCTTCTTCTGCCAACAACAAATTTAGTTTTGTTGTAGATCTTATTATGCTTTATATTTTCATAAATAATTGGTAGGTAGTTCCAATTGATTCATATAGTTGATTTATAGATATAGGATGCTAGCGGAGGGGAGAAATCACAATAGCCGTAAAATGAAAGAGGTTTCTTGTGCTAAATGTCCAATTGTGTGACTCTTGCAAGTATATTATTATTGAGCAAATCTCTAAGGTTCTACCTAAATAAACATGATTTCGATATGTATTTCTACCGATGGCAAGCGAGGCGAATTCATATTGCTGGGGCACTAGGAATCGACGCATTCATTCACGGACGGACACGAATAAATCGAGTCGGCTATTGAATTTGATCAAAAATATATGTATATTACATTTGCAGTAATAATGTACCCTTTTTACAAATTTTTAAAGAGTTCAGTGTGCAAAAGAGGGAGACATCATTTTATAAAAGGAATAAAGAGATTTGTTATAGAAGAGAAGCAGTTACGGATATACAATAATAATTGTATATGTAATAGAAAAATTAGAGAGTTAGTGAAAAGAACTCAATGACCTCATTGTAGCCTGTCCGGAGCCCAAAGATTCTATTAGGGAAAAAGAAAGTAAACTGAAGGACATTTTAAACGTTTTATAGAAATAACTTGAAAATAAGAAGAAATGAGTTCGTTGTTGCGTGAAATTTGAAAATATTTCGAGTCCGAAATGCATGTAAATTTAAATAATATGTTTATTTTACATAAATTGTTTCGCATAGATGCGCTTTCCATAAGCCATAAACAAAGTGTAAGGTTGTAAGCAAGTCGAACTTCATTGCATTGAACTAAGTTTGTCATAAATGTGAAATATCGCATGGAGTGTCCTTTTTATACATACATATATATTTTTTGCTATTTCTAAGCAGAGTTTGGTTCGTTTTGTTTTTAACGAGGAACCCTTTTATTTTTGTAACGGAAGTGAGCAAATTGCTTTGCACCGGGTCGCAAAATTTATTTGTATGTCTTTTGGCTTTTATTTTTCTATAAGCAGCTTTTCCCCCCTTCACCACCTCCGCCCCCTTTGACAGACCGCCTGCTGCTTGGCTGTGGGTTGTTTTGCTGGCGTCTGCAAACATTTCCATGTGTGAAAGAACGAGCTTCGTCCTGGTCTTGCAACGTGTTTGTTCTGCTCCTGTCCTGCGACGTCCTCGATGTCCGTGCTGGTCTTTATGTGCGTGGGTGTGTTAGTATTTATGTGTGTGTGTGTGTGTGTGTGTGTGTGAATGTCTGGCTGATTTTTATTGACGTTTGAGCATGTGTTTATTTCCGTCTGTGTGTGTGTGAAAATCCCAGCGGTGTCTTTAAAGCGCTTAACCATAAAGAAAAACGAAGCGAAACGCTGCCGGGTCGAATGTTGTTTTTCTTTATTTTTTTCTCACACAGCTTTTATAGGCTGGCAACTACTTGAAACTAAACTTTAAGTAATTTCTGCATAATTCTGTGCATGCCACCGCCCCTGGGGTGCAATCCAACCAAGCTGTGGCAAGTTCAGCTAATAGAAATAAACGCAATACTTTTGCTTCATATATATTTTTGATTCTAGACTTGCTCGAGAGAATTATTGAAGGTATTAGCTGTTGAGTATTGAGTATTGAATATTGAGTATTGAGTATTGAGTATTGAGTATTGAGTATTGAGTATTGAGTATTGAGTATTGAGTATTGAGTATTGAGTATTGAGTATTGAGTATTGAGTATTGAGTATTGAGTATTGAGTATTGAGTATTGAGTATTGAGTATTGAGTATTGAGTATTGAGTATTGAGTATTGAGTATTGAGTATTGAGTATTGAGTATTGAGTATTGAGTATTGAGTATTGAGTATTGAGTATTGAGTATTGAGTATTGAGTATTGAGTATTGAGTATTGAGTATTGAGTATTGAGTATTGAGTATTGAGTATTGAGTATTGAGTATTGAGTATTGAGTATTGAGTATTGAGTATTGAGTATTGAGTATTGAGTATTGAGTATTGAGTATTGAGTATTGAGTATTGAGTATTGAGTATTGAGTGATCTTGAGCTTTTAAGGAGGTTTGGTCGAGTAATTCTCATAATTAAATATTAGAATTATTAGAATTTATATAAACTTGAATATTTATATTGATTCGAAGCAGGATTCTGCTAATTTAAGCAACTCTTCTAACGAGCCTGTTCTCTTTTAAATTTCGAATGAGTAGTATATGAGATTCAGTTAACAGAAATCGCTGCATACTTTCAGGGACATGCCCACAAGCCTTTGACGCGCTCCATTAGCGTCCTTCAAATTGACACCCTTTCGGGCAAATGCAACCATCCGGACCCGATTCACACCTCAATTGTTGCGCCTGTTGCACTAAATAACAGAAAAAAATAAAATGCACAGAGCGGCGGCCCTGCAGCAGCCGGCACTTGAGACTCACTTGAGTGGCGAACGGGGCGTATGCGTTACATTTCGGTTTTTATTGTTTTTCTCTTTCGCTTCTTTTTTACTCTTGTGTGGCAATGCATTTAACGCCATGTGGCAGAAACAGTTGCAATTTTGGTGGCTTGCAGCTGCAAAAAAAAAAAAAAAATAGGAAGCTAAAGGCACGCGACGCCACTTCCCATGGCACGCATGTTGCATGCCCCCGCTGCTGTCTGTTGCATTTCATTTACTTTATCATTTCTCACTCTACTGTGGCAAATTATAAGCAAATTATTGCGGCTCGCTGAATGCAAATAATCATTCCGGAGTCGCAGTAGTCAGTCGCAGTCTGGAGTCGGAGTCCAAGTCGGAGCAGGAGCTGGAGTCGCAGCTGGAGCCGCCTTCCAGTTGCATTTCCGGCCCGTATTGCACTTGCTTTTCGTTTTTTTTTTTTAAATTTTTTTTTATGACATTTCCTTGTAATTTGTGTCATATTGTTGCCCGTTGGCCGCTGGCAAATTAAAAATGAAAGCGACAGCGACCACTGCGGCAGCAGCTTTTGTGGTTGATTGCAACATTTTTTAATGACTGTTTAAGTGCGCATCCAAAATGCAATTGCAGCATTTCAGTTTTGTTTTTGGCTGCAAGGATCTGCAGAACGCAGTCGGTTTAAAGTGGCATCTACAACATTTTGGGCAGCGTGTAATTAAACTTAATTGTTGCGCTGTCTAAATTGAATTGTATTTAACTTAATTTGTCACAAATTCCTTTACCAGATTTACAATTCATCTGTAAAATTTGCGGCTAAAGAAAAAATGTTGCCTTGAATTACAGCTTGCACTATTAAGATGATTTTACGAATAGCTTGTGGATAAAACTAACTTCATTTTGTAAATGCTAGGCTCTATTAAAATGGGAATCCTATATAGACAACGTAAGGAAAGGTTTTCTTATAAATATATATTTCAGCCTCTTATGAGAGAATTTAAGGAATAGAAGATTCGTACTTTAAGAAGATTTAAATAATATTGCTTGGACTTTATAAAATAAAATAGGTATATATTGTTTTAAATATATTTTTATATTTAATTTAGCAGCGAATAAAAAAATATACATTTAAGCAAATATTATATAAAATGAAGAAAATACGCTAACAATATTGAAATCCTATTCAAACAAGCAGGGAAATATGTGCACATTGCATTTTATTAAATTAGCAGAGAATAAAGCACTTAATTAATATAAAATAATCAAAATATAAATATGTACAAGAGCATATTTGTGCAAGTCAGGTCTCAAAGCATATTAAATCTCTATCTTGTACAAAAAAATGTTAAATTATTTTTGTATATATTTAAGCAACATCCAAGCGCTAAGAGTATAATTTTATAAAATCCAATGGATTTCACTGGGCAGTAAATATTTAAATCATTAGAATCCAGAATTAGAATTGTGCTGAATATAATTTAAATATTTACTGCACATTGTTATCCACTTAAAAACTTATTTTAAATGCAAATTTGATTAAAACTAATTAAAAATATAATTTGCATACTGAATTTCCATATTCAAGCAAATATGGGCGCGCAGCCCTATAAGGCATCTTCTCTTCTAACATCTTCATGTTCTCTTACACTCTCAAAACTTGTTCCGCCTTAAAGTTGGCGAGTCCAGAAAAAAAAACAGAAAAAAAAATGAACGAGTCGCGACATATGCAAAGCTCAGCAGCGATAAGCACACGCCCATTGCCCCCGCTTCGCTCCTCGCTCTTCCTCACCCGCTATTCAGTTCTCTCTCTCTCTCTCTCTCTTGTTTTCTCTTCCTCGCTCGGGCGCGATATGTGCAACATCTAGCAGGTAATAAATCTAACTGTAAACGCAGCGCTTACGACTTTGCATGCCAGGCTTGAAAGTTGTCGTCATTGCAACACCCCCCTCCTCCACCTCCTCCTGCTCCCATTACCAGGCATAACAGCGCCTCAATCTTTCACTCCTTCCCCCCTTGCGCCTTGCTGCCTTCAGCGTAAAACGCAACATTTTCGCTGTCGTTTGCCAAAAATTGTTGTAGCCAGAGGCGTAGCAAAAAGCGGCTGAGTTGTAGGGGGGCTTCGGTTTAGTTAGGGCTTGGGCTAGCCCTTCAGCTTGACGCCTTGTGTGCAATTTGTCTGCAATTTTTATGGTGCGTCCCCCCCCCGCCCCCCCACGCCAACATTACTGTCTATCGTGCTCGTCCTCTCATATTCAATTTGTTCGATTTGATTTTTTCTTTCGCTCTATCGAGTGCATTTTATTTTAGTCAAACGCGTATGCAGAAATTTTCCCACTACAGCTCGGCGCCTGTAAAGTTTTATGCATTGCCACGCTGCCACCCCGCCACCCTTGCCCCTCTCACCCGTACAGGATATGGATATTGTCGTCGATTGAAAGCAGGGCCAGAGTTGGCTGGAAATTGTTATCGGGCTTGAAGCTGGGGCTGGGACTGGAGCTGAGCGTTGTGTAAAATTTTATGTTTATTGATTGGCAGGCACTGTGACTAACCAGCGAGGCGACACTTTGACTTTTGCATAATGCAACTGAAACAACTGCAGCGTTGCCAGACCGTCTTTTAAGCATTTCGCTTATCAATATTGGAAACTCTAAATTTAATTAAAATCAAAATTATATATTTGCAAAATTAAAAGAATACTTCATAAATGATGTCCCTCAATTAAAAATTAGATTTCAAACAATAAATACAATTAAAGCCCAAATAAATATTTAAAGATTAAATGAAAATTAAGTAAATATTCGGAAAGGAAGGAAAATTTAACTAACAAAAGGGAAATTTCGGGAAATATCTTAGGACGGGAAAGCAGAAAATGCCCTTGAACTGAAAAAAAAACCCTCAGGATTGAAGCTCGCAATTGCTGAGCTTTATTCAGGACATCTTGAGAAATAGAAGAGTTTTTTATGTACTACAAAATCGCGCATAAAAAATGTTCGTTCATGAGGTGCTTAAAAAACTTGCTCACTTTAATCGCAGAACTGGGCTGGGTGGTTTGAACACCTCAAGGATCTCATATATATATCGAAATATGTGCCCGTTTATATTTATGATGATTGTACATTATGATGAGCCGCATTAGCAGCACATTACACAAGAAACTTTGGCAAGCGCTGAGCTGGAGAACTGTTGGCAGCAGGGTTCGAGAGTTATTTCCGCCCCAGGATACCGAATTGCATGCTAGAAAGTCATATTTTCATTGGCAGTCGGACAGTCGGACAAAATGCCAGAGGAACAGTGACATAGAGAGAGGGAAGGAGAGAGAGGTAGGGGAAGGGCGAGTGCTGGCCATATGCCTGGGCAAAATATTTTTCATGAGCTGAGCCAAAGTATCTGTATCTAACAAGTGTTGACGGGCGGGACAAAGCCCTTAAGCCCGGCTGAAGTCGTTATGATTTGTCATAAACATAAAATAAATGGCCAAATATTTATGGTCTGTGCTGTGTCATGAGAAGCTCAAACACACACTCACACTTGGCCAATAAAAATATTGGCCCAAGGGTAAGAAACAACTTGAAGTGTCCTTCGATGCGTTGACTTGCTGTCAAGGGTTTTTGCTTGGCACCCCCCTGCTGCCTCCCCCCTACCACCCCTTCCACTCACCAAGATGCTGCTGCTGCTGATGATGATCTCGGCCACGCGGTGTGCCCGGCGAGTGATGATCCTGTGTGTTCCACAAGCTCGACGTGGCGCCCATATAAACGTTGTTCAATGTGGCAGGCGGCGGCTGATCCAAGGACTTGGCCTTGGTCCGCTGCGATTTGTTGTTGCCCAGCTGATTGTTGTGGTTGTAGGGATTATTGCTGTTCGCATTGCTGTTGCTGCTATAACGTTGCTCTGTGAATCGAAGAGGATTAGTTCAATGCTTGAATAACTGCTGCAAGGCTATTTGAAAGTCCTGTCTATTCGAGAGTGTTGCCACATTTCACAGGACAGGTTTTTTTCTTTAAGGATTATTCCACACGCTTTAGTGAAATATTGGTGGAAAGCGATTTCTGGTAACGGTTGCAATTTTTCATAGCTCGTTGACAAGTTTTGGAAAATCCGATTGGATATATTTACAGTGCAGGAAACAATTTTAGCATTCCGTAATTTCTTCAAAGTTTTTGGATATAGATTAATCTATTTGATACTATATCTACCTTTAGATTGTATATGCAAAATATGTAATTGCCTGTTTGTAAATAAATTTTTTATACATGTTCCATCGAATTTGGAGCAATATTTTAAGGCATTAAACTAGTTCATTTATTGTGCAACATTCTTCATACTTATTTAGCAAAATCTATGCAAGATCTATATCTAGGATTAGATTGTAAAAGCAATATAATTTTTGCCTTTTTACAAATTTAATTTAAATTTCATCAAATGTGAAAAATTATTTTAAAGTAGGAAACTATTTTATTAATTATTATGAGATTTTTTTTAAATTTCTTTCGTAAATCTATGGAAATATTTCGTGCTTAATGTTTATAATTTAATTTCACTTTAGTCCTGGGCGAAATTATTACTTTTATATTCCTTAAGCTTTGAATCAATTTTTTTGTTTTCATTTTAAAGCTTGTCTTTGTTTGCAATAGACCATCAAAACTATCGAGTGGCAGGACTTTCGATATATTTGCAGCAGTATTAATTATATTCATTTAATATAAACTTACCCTTGTTGTATTTGACTATAACAACGGGCACCGTGTTAATCGAAACAGTTGGCGCCATAGTCGTTATTGTTGTTGTTTGTGGAATGTCTGTGGAAGTAGAAAGAAATAGATTGAGTTAACAAATGTGGGAGGAAAAATGGATCCATAAGGGTTGAAGTTTAATTTAAAATTAAACTAAATAATTAAGTCGATAAATTATCGACTCTTTTGACCAAGAACCGAAGCTTTAAACGTAATCGTCGCCTTGAATTGAATATAAATATATTCTTTTCATTGAAGTTCTTTAAAATATTATTTCATTTTTATTTCATAGTCCATAAACTGCCAAAAGTTCACTGATATCAATTATAAAATTATTAAACATCTCAAAAAATATATTCTCGAATTGAGCCTCTCTTTTATTGTAAGTCTGCCTGCCGATAATCTTACCATGCTTAAATAATATTTCTACTTAAAAAAAAGGCTTCTTGAATTGAGCCGAGGCATTGGTTCTAACCGTGAACCTCTCTTGTTGGCCTCGCAGCTTTTATTGGAAGTCTTGTTTGCAAGCTAACCGTGCCTTAATATTATTTTAGAAAAATTTTGGTATTGACCAAGCCGATTTGGCCTAATCAGTAGCCTGTAATATTGTGAATAAATGATAAATCGTTCATTGTGCTTAACAAATAAGTATCTATTATCCATGCAGCAGGCTAACAGTCTGAGACGTGGTGTCTGTGGCAGCTATGCCAGCTAATAAATCAATCACTGACACTGCGAACGGGCTTGACCTGGGTCAAAGGGCAGCAAAAGTATCGGCCCAATAACTGAGTATCTATTATGCACGCATTGTTTTTGGTGCCAGCAGTCATTGGCCTAAATTAATTAAATGCTACAGTCGGGTTGGGTGGGGGTAGGGGCAAATAGTTGGGACCTAATTGCCGTTGGCCGTCTGACTTATGCCCATTGTTAGACACAGTTTGGCAATTTACATTTACATTTACGTTTATGGCCATGGTAATGGATGTAGTTATGTGTCTTGCTGTTGTTGTTGTTGTTGCGTGGAATACTTACGATACAGCTTGATCGCACCATCTGTGTCGCCCAGCGAGTTCTTGGCCACACAGCGATAGGCTCCAAAGTCTGAAATGTCAACGTCGTAGATGGTTAGACGCATGGTTATTTTATAACCCGATTCAAAGGTTTCCGGCACAAAGCGTTCACCTGCGAGTAACAGAAAGAGAGAGAGAGAGAGAGATAGAGAGTGACAGATATATACGTTTAGTAATTGCTTCAGGTACATGAGGTGTGTGGGCGGCGCAACAAACTCATATATAACCGCAATGAAATTTAACCCGTTTTGCCACAGTCCTGCAGTCAGTCAGTTAGTCAGTCGGTCGTTTTGTCATTTTGTCTTGGCCAAGTCAACAGTCTTGTAAACTGACACACACACACACACACTTCCACTTTCAGCTCAAAATACGTGTGTTTGCCCAGCTCGTTTGTCCTTTGTCTGGCCTTGTGCCTGGCTAAAGTAATTTGGCTTACGAAAAAATAAAATAAAGAAAAAGCAACTTTTACCTGGACTTGTTGTCATCTTGGATAACCTTGTCTTCAGGCCCAGCCCCCCCACTGTCAAATGGTTCATTTTAATTTATACAAGAACAGCTCTACCCCCTCCCCCACATCAACCCCCGCTGCATACCCTCTCAGGACACCCTAAGAGTTGCTTTGCCAGGTTTTGATTTACGTTTGATGTCGGTTAGATTTAGTAGTTGGCACTAAGCCCGTCATTTCACTTTGTCTAACAGTTTTCGGGCTAGTAACTGGCAAATCCGTAGCTAATTGTTATGCATGGCAGCTAAGCAACTGATTAGTTTAGTAAAATCCTTTCCAAATGGTTTAAACACACAGATTTTTTGCTCGTGTTGTTGTTGATTAAAACCAAAATTGGTTTGCCGATTTAATGTTGAAATTACTCAAAATGTGATTCAGGCCAAGATACAAATTTGCTTAAGAAACTAAAGAAGAGCGTAATCATGTGACTGAAAAGCGTAGAGGTCGCTGGTTCAACTTAACGCCTACAGCAACAAAATCTAAATGGACATTAAATTATTTAATATTATTTATCAAATTTGTTCAAGGAACTATAGAACAGTGCACTCATGTGACTGTGCTTTGCGTCGCACTTACAGGCGGAGAGGTCGCTGGTTCAACTTAACGCTCAGAGCGATCAAATCTAAGTGAACATGAACTTGTTGAATATTAATTCTGCTTAATTTAAATTGGTTTTATAAACGAAATAATAGCGTAGTCATGTGAGTGTGATTTGCGTCGAACTAACAAGCGGCAAGGTCGCTGGTTCAACTGTGGGCCTATAGCGATGAAAGCTGAGCGCACATGAATACTTTTAATTTTATAACTTCTATTAGTATTGGTGTCTATACAGAGAATATGAAATTTTAAAGAAGTAATATTCACTGAACTACTTTTCATTTCAATTCAATTCTTTTGCTTTGCTTGAGCTGAAAACTTTTGTTGACGGATCTGCTATTGCACATATTTTTGCCCTGGAAGCCTATTCTCATAAGCTTCTTAAAGTTAGCACTCCGGCTGCCGCGAACTGCCAAAAGCAACTCTTTTATGTGCTTATGAAATCCAACGCACTTCGACAAGGAAAATGAAAATGAAAAAAAACTCCATTAAAAACTCACGACTGGTGGACAATTGCCGGCTACTGAAACTGCTTTTGACTTGAGGTCATTTTCAATCACTTTTTCCATTTTGTGTCACGGCGCAACTTGAAAACAACACGAGCAAAAAAAAATAATGAAAAAGAGAAGAAAAGCTGAGTAAAACAGGAAAAACTGTCTGTATATTTGTGACTTTTTCACTGAGCTCTTAGCTCCAGCTCCAGCTCCTGCTCCAGCCAAAGGTCTGCTGGAACGCCAGGGCAGGCCGGCCAAGGGACGAGGGCAAGTGCAGGCTGCGGTTACGAGTGGTGCATCCCTTGTTGGTTTTTTTGTCCATCAGTTTTTTGTCATGCACTTCATTTGCCGTGCAAGATGAGTGGGCGTTTGAGTGAATGGATGGATGAATGGTTGGTTGGTTCGTTGGTTGGTTGGATCGTTGGATGGTCAGTTTTTTAATGGCCGCAGGAAATTAAGTTGAAATTGTGCCTAAGGGTCTGAGAGCAATCATAGCAGCTGCAGGCGCTGCATTAAATTAATTACATTTAGTTGGATAAAAGTCGGACTCATTCTTTCGAAGCAACTTACGAGTGCTTTGGCCGGCGGAATTTGCAATATGTTAAAAAGGAGTTTGAGCCAAGAAGCCGACTCAAATGAAGATTTCTATAATTTAAAAAGCTTTTCATATGATCGACTCCTGAATAGATGCATGCCTATCAAAAGTCAATGGAATTTTCTAATACTCGAATAAACCTTTTGACCTCTGCCTGAGAAGGAATATGAAACAAAAAAAAACATATGTATTCTTTTTAATATTTTACAATAATCTTGGTTTGAAGCTCAGTCTAATATGAGAATGTTTTCTCCAATTGAAAAAGTCTTAATATCAATATCAAAGGAAAGCTTTAAGACTTGGCCATTGTTGTGACTCATCACATAAATGATTTAAGCTTTCTTATGTTTGAGAACCTTGATTTACTTACCCGGCACGATAATTGTATCATTCTTCATCCAATAATTAATGGACTTGGGATACGCTTCCGATTGGCATTCCAGTGAAATATTTTGTGCCAAAGCAGCGCCAACTAATTGATTCTGTATCCAAATCATGGGCGGAACTGAAATACCCAATAAAAGCACAAATGTGAGTAGAACAGAGACTAAGGGAGAGAGAGAGAGAGAGTGAGCGAACTGTTAAGTGTAATAAGGGAATGTAATTGTAATGGCAGCTCAGGTATGTGGCTTAAATGAATGCCATGGCATATCCACATGGATAGTTGCTGTGGCAAGCGAGTGCGAAAAAAGTATTCGCATTTATATAAAATTCCGTTTGTTATTGTTTTGCGCTCGCAATTTGTTGCGGTTGCCTTTTATTTATCCAACTAATTGCTTTTTAATTTTTATTAGAAACCGCGCTGAGCAGGCGAGAGCGGGAGAGAGAAAGAGCTTGGATAAGTTAAGTAGCTTGCCAGGAGGATAAATGGTTAACCCCAAATCTCTGGCAAGCTTAGCTTTGTGCGCGCCAGTGCTGCCACCCAGTTGGAATTTACGCACCAGCCAGGCGCTAATATGCAGCACACTTTACAGCGCAGCTAACAGTAAAGTTGCCCGTCAAATTGTTGAGCAACTTAAATTTTTATTTAATTAGCAGCAGCAGCAGGAGAAGGAGCAGGGCGCGGAGCGGGGCAGGGCAATGCAAAAATGCGCTAAAAATGCTAACTAGCTGGGGCGCACTTAATTATTTACTTTATGCATGGCACCTAAAAGTATGCGGCAGACAGACAAAGTGCCAAAGGGCGAGGCAGACACAGCTAGAGCTAGAAAGGGTAGCAGAGCGGAGTTTGCCCTGCTCTCGGGCCATATTAAAATGCACAGCATATTTTGCTATGGTGAGATTTTTGAAGTGGCGCTTTGTGTGCCCCACTGTCTGTTCCGGCTGCTGCTCCAGTAGTCTGAAGCACATTGCTCATACGCCACCGACACAGACACAGACACAGCAGCAGGAGCAGACGCCATGCGGTGCTCTAGCGCAAAACTATAAATATTTAAATATGCTGAATTGATATGCCCGCCCCAGTCAAGAGTACGCAATCCCCCAAGTCCCCACCCATTCCCCACATACTTACAATGCACAATGAGCATGACACGTTTGCTGACTGTTGGCGGGATGCCATTGGAGGCAATGCAGAGATAGGCGCCCATATTCAAGCGATTCACTTTGCCAATGGTCAGAAACGAGCCATTGTATGCGATGGCTGTAAATCCAGAGAAACAGTAAGAGAGAGAGAGAGGGAGAAACATAAGTCGATTAATTATGTTATTAATCAAATTTGTTGAGCAAACAATTGCGGCACACACACATTCACACAGTCACAGCCAATTGTATGCAGCTGCTTGTCGATATTCAATTTCCACAATATTTTAACAGCTTGCATATTGAACTCAAATGCTGACTTTACCTATAATTATTTATTTATTAATTAATTAATAATTGCAATACATTTGTACTGCTGCACCCAAGTGGAAAATTTATTTAAGAAAATACATTTGCCAAAAATCTTAAATAATTAAATATTTTATGGCACATTAACAATTACTCACTCAAAGGTAAATCTCTTAAAGCTTGAAAGTTTATTTACAACAGATTCAAACTATTTAAATTGATTTATGTAATGCGAATACAATATACAATTGTTGAAAACATTCGGTTTTGACAACATTTCGATATTTAAATCTGATTCAATTTATATTTATTAATTATATTGGTAAAAATTAATTGGGGAATTTAAAGAAACATTTTAAATTAAACTCCGTTTTCCGGCTATTATAAACTATTATAAAAGGAAAAATAAATAATTACCCAGCTGCAAAAAGGTTGAAAATCCATTTGGGAATCTTAAAAAAAAGGTATGAAATAACTGAATATCTTTAGCCAAATGCTTATAACGAATACTCCCGCACGCCTATTTGAGTATATTCACAGCACACTCAAACTATGCAAATTGATTCATATTTATTCGCTCCTTGTCACAGTAACTGTGCAATTGTCAAATGCTGCAAGTGCAGCATTATGTGGCAACATGCCAATTACAAATTCTCATGCAGTTATGTTGCTGCAACGGGGGCAAAGCCAAGGTAATTCTCAGTGTCATTGCCTCGAGTCCTTGTTTTTGATACTCTCACCTAACTCCGGTTAAACTTATGCGTGTGCCCTGCCCCGGCTGCACATTGGCATTTTATTTCCATCTCGCTTGTGACAAGGTCCAATTTGTGCCACCCGGCGGGCCGATTTATCGATTTGCCAAGTGGCCGAGCTGTAATGAATGTTGCATTTGCCCAGCCAACTGACAGCACCCAAAGCCACAGTCGTTGTGGTTCTGAATTTGTGGATTTGAGTGTTCGCCTCGGAATTCGTTGGCCATCAGCCGATGCAAGTAATGCACCTGTCATACGTTGGCAAACATTATCGCTGCCACATTGTTGGCTGGCCTCAATAAAGTCAATGGACTATATGATCAATAACTTGAGGCTTGATAAACATCAATAGAGTAGTTGGACAATATTTCAACTACACTGTCCAACACAAAGTTTCCGGTTTTAATTAATGCAGTATTGGCATTGAAATTTAGCTCTCAGATTACTTATTAAAATTCATTATATTGCCTGGATATTTCTATTTATTCTAAAATTTAATATATTGAACAAAAGCAAGGAATAGTTTTTGATTCAAGTAAAGGAACCCTTTTTTAATTATATTAAAATTAATATAATAAATATAAAACATAAAATAGAAACTATAATAAAATTAATAGAATGCTAACAATAAGAATAATATATCAATTATAACAAAACAATTATAAAAATAATATTTCTATAATTTAATGATATAAATTTATGCCAATTGCTTACACTTATAATCGCATATAAATATAAATTTAAAAGCTTTCCGGAGTTGGATCAGCCTCTTCAATTCTGTTAAAAAATTGCTTTGCAGTCAACTTAAATTTCGGTTTACATTTATTTAAATTTTTAAATGGGCTATTTTCTTATAATTATAGTCCTTCAAAGTGCGCATTCTCGTTGTTGATTAAATAAGGAATTTAACTATTAAGCATCCGCAGTCAAATCATAATTGAAACTTAATAACTTGTAATTACTTAAATATGCATGCAGTTAAGCCTGTAATCAAGAACAGCCCACTTATATGTAGCTATGTTAAGAGTTTCATTTTTCTTCAAGCTCTGAAACACAGCCATCTACAAATCCCCATTTTCCTGGTAACACTACCTCAGTTTCCTCTGAGCGCAAGTCACGAATATTGCGTTAATTATGCTGAGCCGTTGCTTATTATTGAGTGTGCATGAGAGAGTTCGCTTAACTCAAGCTTCAGGCTAATTAAGCGAACTTAAGTTAACTTTAAAGCGCGCTCTCATGCAACTCAAACACGCAGATATTGTCGGCATCTTTGCTGAACTTCGACATTGTGGCAAATAATTTACATGCTGACCCGCAGAATCCGCGCCAGAGTCCATTTGTCATGCATGCAGCGTGCAAATGCAAACACACAAGTTCACACAGACTCACTCACACTCTGGCTATACACTCACATTTGCATACACTTACCCTCGGCTCCATTGGGCAGGGGTATCAGTTCGCCACCTTCGCGTCGCCAGGTTATCGTCGGCGTTGGCGAACCGGTTGCAGCACATTTTAGGGTTACGTTTGAGCCCTCGCGTATGACCATATCGGTGCTGGTGGGATAGTCCAGTATGTCTGGCGGCACTGTGCAGACAAAGACACACACACACACACACACACACGCACACAGGCACATAGTTATGCCAACAGTTACAGGCGACATATTATTCATACGCCGTGTGGGCCGTGCAACGATGCGAAGCGGCAATAAAATGGGCATGAGCAGGTACGCGAATTGTTCGCCAGGTGTCAGCAGTTGGCAGTTGGCAGCAGCAGCAGTTGTTATTGTTGTTGTTGACATTGTTGGTTGGTTGGTTAGTTGGTTGGTTTACAGTTGTTGTCAGCGGGACATGTGTGTGTGAAAAAAAGCAATAAAGAAATTTTTGTTGAGTGGCTTTATTTTCAGCAGGCTTTTAACAAATTTGTTGCTGCTGACTATTTAGTTAGCATTATGATTGATTTTTGTAAATTATTTAATATGCAAATATTTAGTTTGTTGAATAATAAAAACAATTTTTAATAAATATTTGGTATTTAATGGGCATAACTACTTGCACTTTCTATCGATTTTTAATACTAGTTTTTGTATTTAAATTCATTCGCATTGTTTCAGGTAATTAGCACAACTTTAACAGCAGATCGTATTACAGTTTTGCCACAAATTGTATTGAGATATCAAAGAGCCCAATTATTATATATTCTCTATAAAATATATTTCAGTCAAATTTGCCTGTTAGTTAAAGTTTTCTCCAGGAACTATTGCTTAATTTACTTGTATGCTCTTAATTGGCCACTTTATTTTGTATCTGCAGTTTATTCTACAGGCGAAAAGCCTAGAAACTAAAGTAAACATTAATTTAATACACACCAGCAAGTAGGTATTTCTGCAATTAAATTCTCGTGCGGCTTCTTCAACAAGTTTTTATGCACTCAAAGCCATCAAATAAGGTACACGGGGCACAGGGCTCATGCATATCCTACAAGGACACGTCGCTTGTGCCCATTTTTTGACATTTACATGCAGCGGGAGCTATCTGCCAGCTAACAGACCCTGGACCCGGACCCGGACCCGGACCCGGACCTGGACCTGTCGCCTGTTGTGCGTGCCAGTCTCTGGTGTTGCTTGGCAATTAATTATAATTTCACGCTTGACAATTTTTCACTCGCCCAAAAGCAGCAAGAGAGTCAGACAGAGGGAGAGATAGAAGATGGAGGGCCTAAGGTAGACAAAGGGGAAACAGTCTGTTCTACTGACCACTTAATGAGGCTCCTCTACAGCCTCCCCCCACGTCTCAGTGTAGCCAAACAAAATGTGCATTTAATAAGTAGAGCATTCAAACCAACTTGTTAAATGTACGTAAAATTGCCGCAATATCTAGAGACGTAGAGAAATTTGCTAGTTTATATTGCAAAGACAGCTTTTAAGAAATTATTGACTGCGTTTATTGTGGCTTGTGCCTTGCTTCCCAACACATCGCCGCCCCCTACTTTAGCAAAGCCAAAGGCAAACAGAGCTGGAAGTATGACGCACAACATGCACACATTGAAACTTAAAAGTCTTCGTGTAAACAATGATGGGCATGTTTAACAAAATGTACGTTTTTTTTTCTGTTTTCAGTTCACAAGCACACATTACGTATACGTCATGTTGTACAAGTCGAGTGGGCACAGTGCCTGTTGACTTGGCCGTAATAGGCTCAGCCATGACGCATGCCTCAAATCACAAAGGGAAGAAGCAGAAAGAAAAAGAGTGAGACAAGGTGTGGGATAAACGCTTTTTATCGCTGTGCTCAGTGGTTGAATAAGTTAAGAAATGTACTCAAACGTGATGAAAGATAAAAATTAATTTCAAATGCGCTGAAATTAAGCGTTAATGCTATAAAAGCATTGATTTTGCTCTGAGAAATAGGAGAGGTAGGCAAGAAAGGAAACATTTATTTAGCTATGAGGAAATATAAAATGTGCAATTTCGGTAGAAAAATTAAAACAAAAATACCTTTTTTTAAAAAATAAGCGTGTCTAAAAAAATAGAATGGGCAGATAATATACATAGTACTTATTTAACTCTGAAAAAATATGATATGCGCAAAAATATGAAACATAAATAAATTTTTAAATAAAAAATGAGCCTGGCTGTAGAAAGGAAGAAGATAAATGAGTCCTTACTAGTCTGTGCATGGAAATAAGTAAGGGAAAATATTCATTTTAAATTTAAGGGCATTTTTAAATAAAAAATTAAAAATAAACGAGAAAGTAAGGCTATCTTCGGCAAGCCGAAGATCTAATACCCTTGCAGACCCAACCTTTTCATAATGCTTATAGTGCTTTCCCCGTTTCTAAGAAGCACAGGGAAAATAGTTAATGCCGACTTTGGTCAAGATATCTTAAAAAACAAAATGTTTTTTTATACAAAAACTTAATTTTCGACCGATCGTTTCTATGGCAAATATATGATATAGTAGTCCGATGTGAATAAGATTAAGCAAAATTGAAGAGAGCATAGTGAATTCTTGGTTTAATCAAGATATCTTGAATGACAAACAAGTTTTTAAAAGAATTTAGAATTTAAGCAATCAATAATACTTTTTATATAATTTATATATTTCATATATATATATTTTGTATATATGTATATTTAATGTATATGGACTTAGTATATTTGATTATTTTTTTATATATCATAAAATTCGCACAATTTAAGCAGATAAACCTTAAAGGAATATGCCTCTTTAAGTAATTATTTTTTTAAATAAGCCCGTCTCAACTAGACATTTTATGGAGATTAGAATGTTGGGGGAGACAGCTCTTGGTGCACAAAGAGCGCGAACATCTTTTGCTTTTCAGTTGTAAATTCTCTGCATTAAAATGCCATTTTTCAAAACATTTTCCAGTTTCGACGCCACCCAACGTCGTTTTGACACTTTCCCAGCTTTTCCACTAGAATGCGCCCACTTGGCTACGCGACCCGCAGACTGCCCCACTTTGGGGCACAATCAGGCAATGGCCAACGCCCGCCGCTGTCATGCATCAAAGCTGAAACCGAAAATGGACAACAAATTTCTCGTCCATAAAAATTGTGGACACATTTTCCTTTGCAATCGCGTCCTTTTGATTTTATTTGAACATTTTTTTCTGCCCGCGTTTATTTGTCAATGCAGTTAGCTTTTTTATTCTATTTATTTTCGGCTTTTTCGGCTTTTTGTTGCTGCTGATTGTTTTTATATGAAAGCCAGCCAGGCATTGAATTATTTATTCGAAACAATATATTTTGCCCCAATTGATGTTTTGCTTATGGTGTTAAAGGCATTGTCTAAGCCGTATGCTTCATGTCTCTGTGGCTGGCTCTTGGCTATTTTTGTGCGCGAGATTTTTTTAGTTATGCATTTTATTTGATTTGCATGCCATATGCATAAATATGTATGTATGTTTGTCTGGCAGCTAGAAAATATGAAAAATTCACACGCATTTATATTGCCAGAATACATTTTCCGTAGCTATTTTCAGATAGCTAACTCGTTTGGGGTAAATTGCGAAATTTGTGTGTATATTTAGATATTGTTTGTGGCGCAAAACAAAAAGCTTTTGACAATTTTCAAATTAATTTATTTAGATTTTTATACATTTTTGTGCTTGATTTTAGATTTGTTTCGCGAATTCCTAATGGTGTTTTATTAATTTGCAAGCTGAAAAGTATGCAACATAAAGTCGCGCACTTTGTCAGTGGTAGGAAAAGCTGGCCACTGGCCTTAAAGAGGCTTCCCGTTTTGATTTTGGACTTGGTTCATTTGGTTGTAAAGCGTTTTTGCACTGCACGAAAGTGGTTGGAGGCGCATATTGTGCATATTGCTGAGCTGGCACACACATTTGGCGCAGTGTAGGCGGCCGTAATGAATTTCGACATCAATGAAAACACAATCAACCAAAGTGGTTACTTACGACCGTAGTAAAATGCCGCGGTTTTGGGTCTGAAAATGAGAATGTGCCGGCGAGCGGCCAACTTGAAACCGGAACCGAGCCAAACCAAAAACCATACCAAGCCTTGGGGGCGGCATATTCATTTAAAATCTGTCTGGGATCCGACGCTGGGCTTGTCTCCTCTGAGGTTTTTGTACGCCAGCTGAATAATTAACGTGGGCGCACGGACATGGAAATGAAATAACATGGCGGCAGCTGCGGGGCGCTGGGGCACGCGGGCGCGTCAAGGCGCAGCGAGGCGCACGTAGCATGTAAATTGTTTCATTACCTTACACTTTGGCTGACCAGGTGTTTTCTAGCTGTTCATTGTCTCAATCCAGCTAAAAATATGGAGAGGGAGAGAGAGAGAAACTAATGTGCTGGCTAAGTGAAAAGTAAGCCAGCTTTAAAAACGCCCCCATGCTCAGCTTAAAGAGCTGGCTAACTCAATTAGCCAATAGTTTTCAGCGAGAAGAGAGGGCTCGCAAACAAACGCCCCTCGAAACACAGTTGCCAGCCGCAGCAATTAGACTCAATCGCCAGTTGTTAGAGAAGTTGTGCACAACTTTTCCGGCCCGATTGAAACACCTAAATAGACCATTTGCCACTTGCCACTTGCCACCTACCACTCGCCACTTGGCTGAGCAATTAGCGCAATTTGTAAAAAAAAAGGTAACCTATCAGCTGCAAATTGCAGTACAAGTCGTGGGCGTCAGTCGATCGACTCGCTGACCGCCCAGCCGCAGCCAAGACAAATTACAATTCGTTTCAGACTCACACTCGCTTATAAAAGTTAATTTACGCGCAATTGTGCTGCAATTGCAAAAGCTATATGGGTTTAAAAAAAAAAAACAGAGTACAATAAACAAACGTTTACATAAGAAGAAAAAGTCAGCACACACGAGCAAATACCCTTGCTGTGATAGAAACGATTTTCTTTGAACCGATTGTTCATATTGAAGCCATATTTTTATTTCACTGGAAAAAGTTGACCGAGTCAAATTTTCTAGTTCAAATATTATAAAGAAAATATATGTTGGTCTCATTAATATTTTCCAGTTAAAATATTAAGAAAATTATTATTATTTAATTTAACCCATTTATTTCAATTAATTTATGTACTTGTCAAATATATTTTTATTGCTCTTTTCATTGTGAATAGTCACAAATTGAATATGCAAACACAATTTTTTATTTACTGCTCAATTTGAACCAGCACTTTCCCACTTGCTAGTCTGCATTGTTTTTGATATTTTTTATACAAACTTCGACTGATTTTCCCCAACTTGGAGGTTGAGTTCTCCAAGCACCTACTTGGTGTGCACTTTCGACCCAAAGTAAGGCTTTAGTAGAAATTTCAATTTGACCAATATTAAGTCTATATACATATGTTTTTGATGTAAAGCTTTAATACCATGACTGTGCGTACTGAGTAATAATAACTTAATGAAGCCCCTTCTATGCGTTACACATTTCGTGACAAAACTGTAATACTCTCCGCAAAGGGTATAAAAACAACTTAACTAGCTGCTTTGGGCTAGAGTTGAAGAACGTAAATTACACACAGAAATTTATTTTATTTTGTTTACCCACCGACAACATCCAAATAGCCGACTTGACTTTTCATCGGATCCGTGTTTATTTGGCACATGTACCTGCGGGTTGTAAATATTTTCATGTGAGACGATTTTCCTTATCTAGGGCTTATGTTGTAAAATGAAACAAGAACTAAAATTCAGTAGCGCAATAAGAAAGCATGCGTGAGAGCATTTTATGGCAAAAGGCCAGCGTAAATATGAAATAAACATAATCGTAAAGAGCATTCTGTTGTGAAAATAAGAACTAGGCATTTCCTAACAGTGCACGGTGAAAGTTAAATAAAAAAGCTTTTAAATTCAAAAAGAAAAATCATAAAAATTAAAAAATCAAAATTGTATATGTTATATAAAAAGCCAAATAATTATTTAAGCCAAGCCAAACGAAATGAAATGGAAAATAAACAAATTGAATATATAAAAAATTAAAATAAAAATATGGGAGATAAAAAAAAAAATTAAAAAAATATATATAAATTACACCAGTTAATTAATACAGAATTAAAAATATTTATTAATACGAATTAATAAATAAATATTTGGCTGATTGCGTAGGTAATTTAGGCATAAATATTAAATAAAATAAAAAGAATCTCGAAAATAATGTTATATACATATTACAAATATGAAGAAATGTATTCCAAGTGTGAGTTATAACTTTCTTGCAAGTTGGAATATTATTGGCCTTAAATTTGTATATTGTATAACAAACATAACACATAAAACAAATTTTCTACAAAATTAGAAATTTGTATAAATCGTTTAATACTCAATGCATAAAATAGTTGTGCTTGTCAATATTAAAGCATAGTTATACAAGTTGATGGGTTTTTATACAGTACCATCCTTTGTCGGACTCCTTAACATCACGTATACGCAATATCCAAGCACGTTTCTCGGCATGAGTAATGCTCATGCGATGATTTTTGGTTATGACGTGATTTTGTATCGTTAAAATCGTTTGTGTATCGACACGTAGCCACGCAATCTGCACAAAGGAAATATTGTTGATAACAGAAAGGAAAATACATTTAGTTTACTTTCAGCTTACTTATGTGGTGCACAAATTATAAAACTAAGGCGCTCGACAATTCGGGCACAATGTTAATGTTGAGCTAGCGTGGCCCGAGCTCATTTATTAGCCCAAAGACACAGAATGTCGCCAAAAGGCGGCAAAAGTTTAGGAGCTGCTGAAAGAACTGCATACAGCCCTTAAAGTGTGTCAGGCTGAGGGGAGGTTCAAGAATTTAGCTATGCTTTACGCTGCACTAAGTATTTTTAAGATGTTGCAAGTTCTTTTTTGTTTAAGAAATGGACATAATTATACATATTGAGTGCCGAAAGTCACTTACAAATTAAATAAAATTGATTGATTGTTTCATTTTCCAGTGAATTAACCAATTCAAATTACACGGACACACACACACACACACACACACACACTCATAACAAAGGGCGCCTCAAATTATAAGGTAGAGAAATTGTTGTCTACTTTACATATGGTCAGACATCAATTCACTAGCTTTCAATTTGTACGCCCAAATGCAACGAACCATTTTGAAGGAACATCATATTTAGAATAAGCAACATGATAGGCAGCACATTTACCATTTGAATGTCGGGCTGCTCAACGATATCATCAAGGAGCCGAAGGGAGATTATCAATTTGTTGCGTGCGCTTTCACCAGGTCCATTTACCTTGCCATTTACCGAAACTGGGCCTAAAAGCTGACTAACACAAATTTGTGGCCGACCGTTTGCCATTTTCGTTTCGGCAATTCATTGGGCAGCTTTTTTTTTTTTTTGTGGCCCTCACCCAGCGGGTCACGAAATCAAAGTGGCGCCCAAGGGGCCTGAAACGTGCCCAGTTGCCGGCGAGGGAGCGTAACTGGAACCGAAAACAAAAAAAAAAACCCTTACAAAAAGGGTCAACACAAATGGCGCACGCATTATGCGTTTAACGAGAGGACACGCACACGGTCACGCACACGCACACGGACAAAGAGTCTTTGAGGCGTGGCACCTGAAACTATGCCACGTTTTATTTGATGAAGTGTAAACTGTTTGAAATGACAGCGCCGCCAGCAATTTCCATTAGGCGAAACACCTGGCGATGGGTGCCGCTCTTCTAATTGTGCCCGCTTTGCCAAACTAGCAACAGACACGCCCACAGCCCACTGCCATATTGAAAGATATTCGAGTGGAGCACGGATTTACCTTATAGGTTTGCAGATTGTCGACAACACATTGGAGCACAGCCTCTCGACCGACCGGCACGGTGACATTCTGTAGGAGTTCTCCAAACTTGGGCAGATCTGTAATGTGAGCAAAGAAATTGGAGTTAATGTACGGATTGGCATAAACAACAATCTAATCTGAAACAAGGTACATATCAGAGTGTTTCTTAAATTTGATTATTGAAACCTCTGTATATACCTTTCATTGGATTAAACTGATAAGCACACGTTTTACAAGTTTTCATATTGAAAATTCATTAAGTTTAACTTATCTTAGAATAGGGGAGCTTAACTTTGTATTAACACATTTAAGCTAAGAGCCTCAATTCTTAGATAATGCGACTAACAACTGCATTAAAACAATCAAAAAATCGTGAGAGCTACATATACACACGCACGCCGCTAGAGATGCCGCCTTGCCCACAGGTAAGATCGAACTAAGCCAACAGCCGCTTTGAGCTGCCTTTATACGAAAAAATCAAAAGAGCACTCTTTACAGCTGCCGTACAGCCAGAGTACTGATCTTAACATAACATTCCACTGTTGGTGCTACTTACAGCTGCTTAACAGCAACAGTGCTCGCAGCTGCTTAACAGCAACAAAGCTGCACTTACATTAACCACTGTTAGTAATAAGAGCGCGTCATACAATAAGTTAAGTTTTTCTTTGTGACAAAGGGGACTGATATATATGTATGCATTTGCATGTGTGTGTATGTGTGTGCGCTTGCTTACAATAAAACTGCTCTCCGTGTTTCTGTACAGCTCGCTCTCAGTTCTGCTAAGTCAGACACCGTTGAGTGCTTTTCATGATCGTCAGTTTCACCACTTTTTTTTTCGTCCGCTTTGCGCTCACACACACACACACACAAGCATGCATGCAGCGGGAATTGTTTCGTACGTGTATATGCGTGCTTGTGCGTTATCTACTTATGCACGCGTGTGTTTGATTGAGTGCTATCTGCATATCAATCCGTCTCGCTTGCTCTGCGAATTGGTGGCTGCTCAATTTTTTGCCTGCTTTGCGCACTCGCAAATGAATATTTATTGAAACCCAGTAGTAAATTGCAACGTTAAGCAGGCTGAAATATTTGCACAGCTACAATTTGTTGATTGCGCTCCCATTTATATCTTGAGGTCTTACTGGGCGGGATTAACATAATATAGCTCAGTTAATGAGAATATATAGAGCAGTTAATTTAGAAATATTTTTAAATATTTATTGTATCGTTTATATATTTTAAACATCTTCAAGCTTGCAGCTGTGCAGCAACTCCAGCCTGCTTAAACAGTTCAATTGGCTACTGGGTGTAAACTCGAAGAGAATCAAGTTGCGAGTGCGCAAAGCAGATGAAAAAATGGGCGCACAGAAAGTTAGCTATCGACCACAAGCGGAATTATTGCATGACAGAGAACGTAATTCAAAGGCAGATAACTCATGAGCAAAAGTAGATAACGCATAAGTAAACACACACATACCAAAATACCATACATATGTGCATACACTTGGGTATATTCTGCTTATGCGTCGCGCTCACATCAATATTTGTTGTTGCTTATGTGGGAATTCATCTTGTGAGAATTGGCTGCTTTTTTTCGGTGCGCTCTTTGTTCCGTCCGCTGTGCAGGTTAGTTCGACTATGGTAGTCATCGAGACACGTTGTTATCCGACGAGTTGAAGTCTCAAATTAATACAATTAGAATTTCTCGGCATAATACTGTCCGGATCGTATCTCTTATCAAATTCATATCGATTAAAAAAACTTCGCGTTGTAAAGTTTGAACAACTCTAATAAAATTTGCTAGTTGTTTAACAATTAATTCGCCCTTCAAAGATTGCATTGTTTAAAGAAGTGTTCTAGAGTCCCGTCGTCCGACTCAATTGCCCGAGTTGTAGCTTTTTATTAAAAAGAACAGCTGATTTGTGTTGTGCAGAGACCAAGAGAGGTACATGTAAATATATTTATGGAAGAATGTAGAGACGTACATACATATCGACCGCCTGTTTTGGCGCCTGGCAATCAGAGATGGAACTTACGTTTGCTTGACTTAAGTCAAAGACGTGCTGATATCGTTAAAGTAAAGTCAACTTTTATTGAAGTTTGATTAAAACAATAAAATAAGCTACATATAATAAAAAAATAATCTATTCTAATGGGTTTCTGCCCCAACTGAAAATGTATGATTAGCACAGAATATTGAGACTAACAGACTGTCTTTTAAATTCACTATAAGACTTATTAACTTATATTATGTTTAGTTATCATATGACAACCTCTCGATATATATGTTAAGGCAAGATAAATCAAAAAACTCGATATACCAATATCAGCTCCGTCACTGCAAGTAAACGTAAAGTGCCGTCTCTAATTACCAGGCGCACAGCATCGGCAGCCGTTGATTGTTTTGATCTTCAAAATAAAGTGGCAACATGCATATACAGACGAATGTGCTGGGATGGCATAGCAAAGTAAACTTTACAGTTTTGTGTATGCAAGGCAAGGCGAAGATAAAAACATGTGTCTACATACATATATTCTCTTCATTGCAACAACAACGTAAAGGCACGAATGTGCGTGGGTGCCAAAGTTCGAGGAGAATTGCAGTAATTGCACATTAGGCAAGGCAAACATGCGCGAGACAGAGACAGACATATGCGTAAGTGGCAAAGGGAGATCAAAATCGAAGCTTATCTCTGTGCGCATCGCATTCCGTTTGTACGCTTTTACAATTTAATTAATTTACAAGCGCCGTTTTCTGTCTACCTGTTCTGTATTGCTGTTCGCCTGGTATTCCAGCCGAATTTTTATTCCAATCTGTAAACCCAGCTGCCAGGTGGTCGGTCTCAATGGAATTTGGCAGCCGTTAAATTAAAATATGCATTATTATAGCGAACGTATAAGGGCGAAGTACTCAAATTCCTTGCTATCCCTGAACTCGGCCGTATCATTGAAGGTCCTGTCGTGTCCTGTGTCGAAAATCTTCCACATACAAGAACTTAAAGCTGGTCCAAGGACATTGTCGTTATGGATTTCGAGATCTCAAGGAGTTTGTGTTTCCTTAAGCACGGCGACTAAAATTGATCAAGTCCTGGATTCTTAGATGACCCCCTAATATTTTGATGCACCTCGATTTGCTTGATCCCTACGATCCTAACGCAACATTTCCTTTAAAAATCCGCAAGGATATGCCCGAGTTATAAGCAATCAAAAATTAAAATTTAACTTGACCAGCAAACGTGCCCCTTTCGGGTATGCAATGCTTTTTTTCGGCATGTCATGTGAACTTTTAATTTTCGATTGCTTATAACTCGGCCATATCCTTGCCGATTTTCAAAGTACTTGTACTTTTAGGACTGTGACGAACAAGCGCATCGACCTGCATCAAAATATTGGGGGGTCATCTAAGAATCCAGGACTTGGTAATTTTTACAGTCGCGGGCCGCAAGGAAATGAGCGTCAGACACAAAATCGAAACTAGAAGGACGATTTAAATGTAAGTTGGTGAACTTGGTCAACACAACTTTCTGCTCCCATCGAGCTCAAAAGTGTATCCTTTCGATTTCGCACTCTAGCTATAGCCGTAACAAGAATGTCCTGTTCCGAAAAATAAGCATATATCGGAAACTACAATGTTTATTCCCATGTCCTTTGGTAAGCTGATATCATCATATTCCAAATTAAAAATATAATATAAGAAGGACGAAAGTAAAAAAAACAGCTGAGATATAAGGACCTGGTGGTATAAACAGATAAGCATATAGCTTGGCCATATCCTTGCGTATCCTGATGAGTCCTGAGTCAAACAAATTGTATTAACTAAGACTACACAATGGCCAAAGGACATCCAAGCCGTCCTTGTGGTTCTCAATATATAAAGGGTTGTGTTTTGAGGCTATTTCCTAGCGCATCGTGATAAATTTTACCAAGTCCAAGATTCTTAGATGACCCCATAATGTTTTAATGCGGTTCGATGAAGTCGGTCCCCACGATCCTAACGCACCATGTCCTTTGAAAATCTTCAAGGATATGGCCGAGTTATGGCTATATTTCAAAGAAGGATACTTTTATAAAACTGGCCGTAGCTTTGGCATTTTAAGGACTTTCGGCATGTCCTTTGGCCCACAGACTATCCTTGTCTTGCCCATTTAGAAAATATAATAAAAAGGACGAAGGTCCTTCAAACAGCCAAGATGAAGGGATATATGTTTTGTACATTAAAATGGCTCTATCACAGCATTATCCTTGCAGATCCTGTCAAGTCCTGTGTCAAACAATTTGTATTGACTAGGACTACAAACTGGCCAAAGGACATCCAAATCGTCCTTGTGGTTTCTGAGATATGGCTTATTTTCTAAAAAGGACATTCTTTTTATAGCCATATCTTGGTCATATCCTTAAGGATATCAGAAGGTTATACCTTTCTGAAGTCGTGGGAAGCAGGACTATCGATTGGCATTCAAGGAATTCCAGGATTCGACAAAAAATTTCACTAAAATTTTTCACAGGGGTTTAGTCAGAAAATGGCCAAAAATCGAAAAATTCGGGACTAACTTCGCCATTTGAAGGACTATCGCGATGTCCTTTGGACTGTAGATAGTCCTGATCCTCCCATTTACGAATATACAACCCAAAGGACGAAAGTCCTTCGGACAAAAAAGTTTTAAGGACAAAATTCTAAACCGAAAATAGCTTATAACTCGGACATATCCTGGCGTATCCTGACGAGTCCTGTGTCAAAAAAATTGTACTGACCAGGACTACAATCTGGCCAAAGGACATCAAGATCGTCCTTGTAGTTTCAGAGATATCGCGATTTTACTGTAATTGTGGGATTTCAACCAATTTTCCTTGGGGCCCGCGACTGAAAAATTACCAAGTCCAGGATTCTTAGATGACCCCATAATGTTTTAATGCAGTTCGATGCAGTTGGTCCCCACGATCCTAACGCACCATGTCCTGCAAGGATCTGCAAGGATATGCCGGAGTTATGGCCATTTCTATCCTCAAAATACCCTTATATATCTCTTTTGACATTTTTGTTTCAAATGTGTTTTTATCTTTTCAGACTGAAGGATTTAAGGACTCTAATCGATTCTAAGGACTATTACGAATCTAACGAGGCTACTCCTTCCAGGATCGGATATATATTAAGCCAAATATAGACATTTTAAGTTAAAATCGAAAATATATGTAAAAAACAATAAATTTGTTTATTTTAACATAAATAAATAAAAAATGTATTAAACAATAACCTTTTTTTACTTCTAAAGCATATGGGATTGCAAAAAATTCAAAAATCAACGGTCGTTAAAAATCTGTCCGTTAAAGGCGCCGGTTTCTGAAATTCTGCTGAAATACCAGGCAAACAGAATTGTCTAGAAGGTCGACAACATTTTTCAGCGTCCGAACATTTTCTGTTGCATACCCGAAAGGGGCGCCCTCGTCGGCGGCTGGGTCCCCAAATTTATACTGAAATTCCGCTGAAGTACCAGGCGAACAGAAATGCTCAGAAGGTCGCCGAATATTTTCGAATAAAAAATTTTGTTGCATACGCGCAAGGGCAAAAATGTAACTCATTTAAAATGAGTGATGTTAAGCTACAGATAATGTTAAATGAGTGCTGTAAAGCGGATGTTAACTAGCAGCTGCAGCTGCTGCTCATTTACAGGGGCTGCTGAAAGAGAAAGCATGCTTGTTTTTGGACCATTTCGATGCAAATTTTGCAGGGATTTGATCCTTTAGGTTCTCGAGGACAATATCGATGGTATGATTTAACCAAGGATATGCAAGTCAACTAAGTACCATTAGGGGCGGGGCTGAAAAAAAAACATACATGCCTATGGACCGTTTCAACGCAAATTTGCAGAAATTTTGTCCTTTTGGTTTATCAGGACTATATCGATGGCATGGAGTAACCAAGGATATGGGGGTCAACTAATAACCATGACTGGGGCGTGGCTGAAAATTGCATACAAATATCTTAGGCGTGTTCTTGCATATTTCGCAAATATTTGACCATTCAGGATCATCAGGACAATATCTACAGTCTGGTACTACCAGGGATATTATATATTTTGTCCGTAAGCGCGGAAGTGTGGTCTGAAAAATAAAACAAACAAAAAAATATTAATACTTTTGTACAACTTTAAATTGTTTTATCTTGGCTGGATTGTCCGCTCTTTTGAAAATTCACTTTATTGGACTTGCAAGTGTATCTAATTAAATTCAACAGTTTTGATTTACGTTTGCATAATAATATATTGAACGGAAATCAAGCTTAGCTTTAATTATAACGTCACTCCGACGTTCTATTAACAGTTTACAGCTGCGCAGAATAACATGCCCATTTAACAGTGGATGCTAACTAACAGAAAACTAAGTTGCGCGGGCAAAAAGCGGAGAGAACTTTGAGTTTTTTTTGTTTTTGCATTATCTACTTATGCTCGCGTGTGCCCGCTCGTCTGTCTTTGAATTGTGCTCTCTCACACAAGAACTCATCTTGTGCTAGCTATAGCTAACTTTCTGTGCGCCCATTTTTTCATCTGCTTTGCGCACTCGCAACTTGATTCTCTGCGAGTTTAACCCCGGTAGTCAATCGCACAGCTTAAGCAGGCTCAAGTTACTGCGCAGCCACAAGCTTTTAATAGCAGCTGGTGTCAACATGGGATGCATGCTAAATGCGCAGAGCTATATTTCACACATACCATATCTCGGCAAAAGATATATTTAAAAATGAAAAGTTTGTTAAAAAAATGTAAAAAAAATACAAGTTTAGGTAAAATTACCCAATAAATGGTAATTAAATGCTCTGTTTTATTTAAGAAGTAATCGCGCCCAGGAAGAGCATATATAATAATAACACATAAGCTTCCCATTGTTCTAGAGGTGTGTAGTCTTTAACTCGCAATTGACTACCGGGGCTTTATTAACATACAATAACAATGAGAGCACAAAGTAGAGAAAAGAAATTGGCGCACAGAAACTTGAACAAGCCGTCGATTCAAAGAGGAATTCTTGTTTGAGAGAGCGTAATGCAAAGGTAGATAACCCATAGGCAAGTTCACACTTTCTTAAGTAGATAAAACACCAGCGAATACGCACATGCACAAGGTTATGCAGAAAGTATTGCAAAATATATACATACATACATATGTGTATACCAATTGTTGTGCATTATCTCTTTCGGCATCGCGCTCACTCGTCTTGCTTTATTTTATGGGCGCCGTTTTTTTCACTAATTGTCTTTACAGCTTCATTCTGTGTTAGTTTGATTCCAGTTGCAAATTTGTCGTATGCCGTAAATAACTTAGTGGGTGTGTTTCCGATAAAATTACTTAGTCAAAAATTGAGAGCACATTTAAACCGAGTTACGGAATATTTACCATTTAATACATAACACAATAAGAATTCATCTAATCACTTTATGTTCACTATCTTTGTACTTAGCAGGTATGAAGGCATTAAACATATTGCCGATATTAATGAAGCGCGGCTGTGCAATAACTTCAAAGTCGTTTTTACTACTGAGGTGAAACTTACTCAAAGCGCATGAAAAAATCGCACACAAAAATGAGAACAGCTAAACGATCATCAGAGAAATTCGACTTAACAGAAATGAGCAACAGCAAAAATTCGACTGAGAGCCATGCATAAGTTAACATAACAAGCAGGCACACAGATGCATGCGAAGATAAAGCACAACCATTCACACACATCTATATATATATATATATGTATATATATATGCAGAGAGACGCGCCAAATAAAAAGATAACTCGTGCGCTCACACGTAAGTTTGTTGTTGCTTATCGCTCCACGCAATTATTGCTGGTGTGCGAATTCATCTTTAGAGCGTCTGCCTTCTTTATCTTCTCTATTTTCGCTTTGCCTAATGCATGCTTCGCATAAGCTAGCATGTATGCATGCACATTCGTCAGTATATACATGTGTGTATGCATATTCCTCTTGGCTGGCATTGTTGCTGTTACAATAAATTGAATGAGAGTTAAGCTGGCCTGAATAGCGCGAATTGACGAGGCAGATTTGGCAGAATAGTGCCAAAATACTCTAAAGCTCAGCCAGTTCCTTAGAAAATATGGCTGTGTCTCAGGTAATTGGTGCCGACGTTCAGAGATGTGTTCCTATAATCGGACGAGATCCCAAAATTATGGTGTCTAATACAAATCAATATTATGATTTTAATTTTCTAGCTATATCGAATATATAAAATATACGAATATGACATCTTAAATGCCAATAATCTTTTCTTAATTATTTGGTACTAATTTTATTTGTTTCAAAAATGCCCTTTAGTTAATGGGTTTAAATAATTTTGTATGCGGATTATTATTATGAGACAGCAGCACGCGTCACGCGTTCAAGCAAACGTAAGTGCCTTCTCTGATTACCAGGCGCACATAGTCGGTAGTTGTTGATTGTTTGCGTCCTAAAATTCTCTCTACTTCGACTTAGAATGCGTGTGCACGAGGAGAATGTAAACTCGGGAGCGTGGACTGTGGCGCTCAGAGCACAGAATGCAAGTTTATCTTTAATATGCATGCGATGGTGCTCTCAGCTCCAATATAAGAATGTGCGTCAGCGTGTGTATGTGTATGTGTTCTTTCCTACTTTTAAGCTCTGCTCTCAGCACAGTTCTCAGCCACGACTCAATAGCTCTGCCGACTACTGCTGATATAACAGCAGCAAAGACTGATCTTGCTATCTCTGTCTAGCGCTTAAGTTATGTGCCTGCGTCGTTTGTTTTCGATTTGTCGTATACATACAAACGTACATATGTATGCACGTATGTCCGAAGCGGCGGCTGACCGAAAGACTGTAATCATACCCTGTATGCATAGAAAATGTGAGGGGTATAACCGTTTGGTGAAATAAATATATATGTAAATATGTTTATCCCTAAATCGGATGGTAGTCATTGCAGAAAGTATGTGTGTGTCCGCAGGTGTATTATTGTTGCATATATATGTGTTTAAGAGGCACATCTGAAAAGAAGTTACAGGGCATCTCGCAGTTGCTCACTGCCAAGAAATGTAACGTGTTTTTTTCGCGATGCCTCGTTTATCTACTGTGCCCGCCCGCTTTGACGCTGTTTTTGTTCTTGCAATAAAAATATAAAAGAAATATGGCCAAACGCGGATGCGTTGGGTTTTGATGGGGGCGGCTATGCAAAACTGATGCAAGAAAAATGACACTCGAAACACAACGCGTAATTACACAAAAAGGAATTACTTAAAATATTTTCTTGTATATGAAAATAAAAGGATTCAGCGAACTTTAAGGCTTTTCAGTTTTGAATTAAATTGTTTACTTCTGAGAAATTAGGCAAACAAAAGGTGCACCCGTAAATATGCATATTTTCAAGTAAATTTCGAATACGTCTGTCTGATTCGCATTGTTCTGCAAATACTCAAGCTGAACATTCATTGACAAACACTGAACGAACAGCTTTAAAACCCATTGTGAATAACAAGTGCTATTCAGTGCACAGATAAGGCCACATTCTTGGATATTTCCCAGAAAACAGCTCCCAGTCCCGCGAGTCATTCTCTCTCTCCTAGCTAGACGCTGTTGTCAGCCCGTCCGCAGAGGCAGTCAGTCAATCAACGCTTCGGCGCTCGAATGCCCAGCGATGCGGACAATGCGCGGGTTGACTTTAAATGCGCGCCCGCAAGTATGCAACAGATTTGTGGCTTTCAGTGGCGGCCTTTAAAAGTTTGCCTACACACGCACACACACCTGCACTTGTGTGTGTGTGTGTGTCGCTGACATGCCAAGGAGACCTCAACAAAGTTGGCGTTACGCATACGCCCCGTGAATGTTATGAAAACAAAAACATAAAAAAAGCAAACAAACAAACAAAAAGGAGCCGTCGGCTGGGGATGCTTTCTTATATGCGGGGCACGCGTCAGTTAAAGCAAATCAACACATAACAATCTTGTACTCAAAATGCGTAAACAATGTGATAAGCAAAGAGAGAGAGAGAGAGAGAGAGATGGAGAGAGAGAGAGAGAGAGAGAGAGAGATAGAGTGAGTGGCGAGACGGGAGAGATGAGGCGGCAGGAGGCGAGTATTCGCGACGAGCATGCTTTTTGATGTGTATTGATGTGGTCCTAAATCTCACTTGCAAGGGGTAAACAGCGCAAAAGTATGGCATTGCTCAACACTGACAATAGATTCATGTGTGCGTTATTCACTTGTTTGTTTGCATGTGTGCGTGTGTGTGTGTGGGTGTGTTTAGTGTGCTGTCATGTTGCGGATTGTCGTCTAATCTCTGTCTAAACATTACGTTCTGCGCCGCTTATTATACACTATACACTTCGCTCTGAAGGGGTGTATAGAATGTTATTTGAATGTATCTAATGAAAGTTTATTAATAAGGCATTTGTAATAGGATAAGGCTATAGTTTCAGGCCCCGTTTATGTAATTACAGTGCTGTAAACAATGTTAACTATTAATAGCTATCGATAAGAAGATGATAAGAATAAACAGGCTGCCAATTTCGAGTGTGAGGATAGTCCGTCTTTAATTGACATCTGTTGAGCTTTATAGCTCAATTATTAGTGGGTAATATTACAAATTTTTCATATAAAAATATTTATAAATTTAAATGAGCGTATGTGGAACCAAAGCTTTTACTAAATTCGAAGCATTATTTGCATTTGGGAAGAGTATCTGACAGAATAAAGCTGGTCAAATCGGGCCACATTTGAATGAACATACATTTTCTCAATTCTAAAAGACAGGTTTTTCCTTAAGCTCAACAATCTGCTCCCTTTCCAAAGAGCATCTACGCTGCGGCTTCTATTTACTAATCGTTTCTGTTTGTGCGCCCTGAAGTATGCTCCACTAGATAATAATAATAGCAAAAGGGGGAGTCTAAGTGTGCTTAAGTGCTGGGCACGACAATTTCGCCGCTTTCAGCCGTAGCTGTTGTGCCTGTTAATAAGCTCGATTACCCAGCTCCTGTCGCGTCAATAAAAATTTGCCACAGACTGTCCTGAGCAACCCTGGCGAGCCCCCGCGCGCGCCGCTTGCTTTTTGCTGTCTCTTTTGCGCTGCCCTTCGTGTAACGGCATTCTGTGTTGCCTTTTGCCAACTCATTTGATTTGGCTCCGTTTATATTGATATGTGCCTGCCTGCCTGCCCCCGTCCCCCCTCTCATTCGTTATATATCTACCCTCACCCCTGCGCGCTGCGTGTATTTTTATGGCATACTCTTCGGCGCGTTCGTGTGTAAATATGTGCAAATTCGCAAATTCGCTACATATTTTGTTTTGTGGCACATCATTCCGGGTAGGCTTGGGTGTGATTGTTTAGTGGATTTATGGGCACATGAAATTAGGATTTAATGTGCATATGTCTTCTGCCTTGAGTGGATTTATTGCACATCCTGAACGCATATCCCTCGCCTCTCTGTACTTAAACATAATGCTTATGATATATGCGAATAAAGCAAATCGTTTTTAACCCCTCACCCCCCCCCCCGCAAGGGCTGGCTATTTGTTGTGGTTCTTTTGTGTTTGGGTTTGAGTCTGTCTCTGTGCTTGTGTTTGTGTGCGGTTTGAACTGGCTTAGCTGCTCGGAGTTTTTGGAAAGTAAGTAGCTCGGCATTTGCTTAAGCTATATGTAAGGCCTGGGCTTTGGCCACATTTGTAATTGTAATCTTGCTTGGTGAAAAGTGCATTTTATGTGGATTTATGCGTGTTGGGCTTCAAGTAATATACAATACATAAGCCCTTAAGCAATACAGATTGTATATCTATATACAGATTTCATTAACTTTACTTGCATATTAAAATCAAAAGTACAGCAATAAGTACTCGATTGGGCTAAAAATATGCTAAATTAATGCTTAAGCATTTTAGGTAAGAGATTAATGAATATTAGTTAGAAAACAGTCTAGCTAATGAGTACTCAATTAATAATGATAATTGATAATCATTTTAGTTTGCAAAGACTAAAACTGATTTTGGTTCCGGATTTTATTCCTAACTCAGATTGTATCTAAATAAGTGCACTTATGGAAAATAAAATATTTTAACCCGAAATACATATAAATTATTCTTATTTAAATTTAGACAAAATATATTATATAATTCAATTTGACTTTCTTGGAGAATGAATAAAACAATGAATAAAACTCAAATTATTTGTTGGAGTGAAGCACATTTTTAGTTGCTTCTGATATGAAAAGAAAAAATGACTTCCTTGACTTACTTTATCATAAATAATTGATGGCAAATGTGTTTTCTTTTTTTTATACTACCATTTATATCGCTGACATTTGTTTTCATTTAGCTGCTCGTATCACATCAGTTTTTATTTTTGTTATTATAAAATACAATTATGCAACCACTTTGGCTTATCGCTGAGTGGCTTTTAGGCCGCATTCTCAAGACGTTCATTCAGAAGCACACTCTAGGCGCATTTCCGACTTACTTTCTCCTTCCGCTCAATTCAACTTTAAGCTCACTTTATTAAGTCAACTCGACGCGGCATTTCAACTTAATAAGCGCAGCAACAACAACAACAACAACAGCAACAGCCGGAAAATGGCGCTATTTAAATGCTAAACAACTCTATTAAGTTGCACGACACACACACATGGCACACACACATTTGCCAGCCAAGGCCAGATTTAGCTTGAATATTTTCGGTCCGTTTCGTGCTTTGGCCAGGGGAGGGTGTGGCAGCGTGCAGGGGGCAGGGGGCAGAAATGGAACCTCAGCACGTTTCAAATACAATTTACAATAAATAAAATTTAAAAGCGAGAAAAAATGCTGCGACAACAGCGACTAAAGACACGACACCGACTCACGACCGAACGACTGACTTAATGGCGCCCCGCGATGGGGTCAGGGGGGAACAAGGGGAGAGGGGGGGCTTGCCAGAAGTGAGCAGAGCAAGTGATGCTTGGGATAACGTAACACGATACGGGCAGCACGCAGCAAAAGGTGTGCACGATCACAGCGAAGAGTGAATGCCCTAACATGAAATTTAAAATAGGGAATACCCAAAATGAATATCTATAAATGGGCATCAACTTATTTATTTGGCTAGCTTGTCTTTGCTTGTGCTTTAAGTACATATTTAATTTCTTATAATCAATTATATACTTATTTAATTATTTGTTTAGCTTCCAATTAATTACGTATTTTATATAATTATTTATTTAATTTTGTAATATTTTGATAAACTTGTGTTAAGCACAAGAAATTCAAGAGGTCAGGTCAAAAATCTTGAAAAAAAACATACATGAATCAAATTGGGAGTAGCCAAGGTTAAAGCAAAATTATTGTATAAAATTCTTGATTTGGCTGGTTTTTGTTCTTGTTTCTGTTTGTGCTTTTCTTATTTTTAAATTATTTAAGCATCAACAACTGTAACAAAAGCGCGTAAAACAAAGATCTAGCGCCAGCAAAAACAAAAGTCTTTAATACAAATTAAAAACGGGCCAATAAAATCCCAATAACTAAATATGAAAACAAAATACAAAAAATATCTTGATTTTTTATCGACTTTTCCTGAGGCAAAACACAAAAAAAACCTGACTACATTGATTATATTTTTATAAATATTTTAAATAAAATACTAAGATATTCAAGTATTAATGTTATGTTTGAATTTATAGGATTCTTTTATCTATTCCCGAAATTTCAACCGTATTTGTAAAATTCATATTATTATCAAAATAATAAATGTGTAACATTTATTTAATTTAGGTACGCTACATATTGACATAATTAAACATTTTTCCATTGTTCAATTCAAGAAAAAATAATCAAATATCTGCAAGTATTTGCGAGGGAATATATATATATATTAAGGAAATGTATATATATGCATATATATGTGGGGAAATGTGGGAGTTGGGCGTGACCGTGTAAACTGTAAGTCGTCTTACCTTTCTCTGGTATTACATTGACGACCGTGTCCTCGCGTATGTCTTCCAGCAGCTCCTCGTGATTTTGCATTTCCGCTTCGGGTACACACGTTGCAGGTGCGAGAGGGAGAGAGAGGGGCAGAGAGAGAGAGAGTCTGTGTTAAAAAGTTACATTTACAGGTAATACGTAGTTAATTTAAGCTCGCTTGGCTCTGGTGGAAATTCAATTTGCGGTTAGAGCATTGAGCAGGTCACATCAATATAAACAGATAAACAGGTTGCACAGCAACCGCCGAAAAACCAAAAACCACACACGCACACACATACATAAACACACACACACACACACACACGCGCGCACATACCTTAACACAGCCAAAATGCTTTGGCTGTAGAAGTAGATGCGCTCGGCAGGGTCTGGACCGTGGTATGTGGGTATATTGAGGAGCTTGGGGCTTCTGGCTTAACTGTTCGTTTCGTGCATTTTTCCAATATTTTTTTTCGGAGCGCATTTATTTGGCGCCTTCTTTACGAGCAGCTTGTAATTCTCGCGACCGCAAAATGAACTTGCACAAAATGCGCAATTTGACTTTTCTGCAGCAGCTGCAAATGAAGCTGCCAGCTATATGAAATCAATAAACCGTAGCGGCCAAGGGGTGGGGGCAGGGGGAGTGGACGACCGTATATTACCCAGACAGGTGAAATGCAATGCAGTGCACGCATCATCAAATATTTAGTAAATGCTGCCAAATGGATAAATGTGCAAATGGTTTTATGCGTAACTTGTTTAGAATATGCCAACTGAGGGGGTTGTTGGACGGAGGGCGTGGTGGGGCAAGGGGCGGAGGGGTTGTTTAGGGGGGCAGCACTTCAAGGTTGGCTGCGCTTTAAAACGCTTTGTGATTACCAATTTTTTTATTGGTTACAAGGGAATTAGCTGTTATTATTGAATTGAATTGGTAGCTTAGCAGGAGCGAGAGATTGAGAGAGAGAGAGAGAGAGACAGAGGAAGAGAGAGAGAGAGAAGCGAGAGGGAGAGCGCGAAAGAGAGAGATTTGGATATTGCTTTGATTCTAGCCAGATATGCTTATATTTTTAATTTTTGTGGAAATTGTTGATAAATAGAAGTATAGGATACTTGAAGAATAATTATAAGCCGAAGCCAATTAATGCCTCTTATATTTATTAAGTTATGATATTATATACTGCTTTTATTATTTGTATTAACTTATTTCACCTTAAACCGCCTGCTGATTTGATTACGTGCTCATATGGGATTCGTAATAAGAGCTGATGTCGTAAACAAGTCGTCTAGTCGATATTTGTTCGTGTTCGTGTGGCTGTGGATAAGACTCAACTTTTGCCGAGTTGAGCGGAATCTTCATGAAGGAAAATACGATAATAAAATGCAGCCCAACTACTTTTATATAAGCCTTTTCTAGTCTAGCTCGACGTGAAAAGTCTGGCCGTACAGCATCTCAATTGGCGGCCGGTTAGCTGCAGCACGAAGTGAGGTTTTCTTTTTTATGATGGGCTGCCCCATTTTCACGGTCACGTCGAGCTTGGCTGCTAAATCACGTCATGGCAGGCCAGGCAAAAGAATGTGAAAGAAGAAAGAAAAATATAGAAAATTGGGCGAACAATTTCACAGCTCTTTCGGCAGTCGGCGGAGAAGCTGTGTGTGTGTGTGTGCAGAGCTGTCTGGTTAAGGTGGCACGTAGCATTCGCTGGCAACATTTGTGGCCCTTTTGAATGCATTTTCTATGCCTGCACATGAGCCAGCAGGCGGCTTCGTAATATGGCAGACCGGGTGAGTGTAAAGGGAGCTGGGGCTGTTGCAACTATGCAACACAAAATATTACAAACAGGCTGCACTGAGGCAAGTCGAGCGCAAAGTTGTTGCCCAACTTGAACATCAGCTAAGGATTTTGCTGCTGCTGTATTTGATGTTTGGCAGAGCGTACCCCCCTGGAAAAAGCCAAGCCCCTTCTACTCTGTGCTCGTTTGCAACCCCTGCTGGAATCGAATTTATTGCATACTTTTGTGCGTTGCTGCTGGAACCGCAAATGTATTCGCCTTGCCAGGCAGCTGTGACATTTGCACAAAGTCATTTCAACCGTTTCACTGCAAGTGCAGAATCCCACCCGAACGCCTTATTGTTCTGCCTCCCAACTGGTAAACCTACTGGCAGTTAGCATGTGTTTGGCGTTTATTAAAATGCAAACAGTGCCGAATTGTTGAGCATGAAAATTAATTGAAAATTTGTTTCATTTCACTTGGCTTTGGCTTTGGCCCGAGCTCGCATTGCTTTGCCATTTGGCCATTCATTTGGCTGTCGTCTGCTACGCATTTCGTATTTCTTACTTTTTCTTATGACAATGTTGCTATTTGCCATTCCATTCGAACTTCCTCAACTAGCAACTGGCAATTGGCAACTGCCAAATTCCAATTCATTTGGTCTATTGACACTGTCTCTGCACGCACCCGTTTAGAGTCCAAGGCCTTTGCGCCTTATAAATAACTTCATTTTTTCTCCTCTATTTTTTGCTGTCATCGTGCCGAAAAACTAGGCAAAATATGTGCCAAGGTGGCCGAGTAAATGGCACTAAAAATCAATAGCAACCGCTTGGATAGACACGCGCAGAGAAAGGAAGTGGGGTGAGAGAGAGCTGGGTGAAGGGGCATAGAAATTGGAATGTGAATGTGACAAAGTAAACTTTGGCAGGCACTTCTTCTGCCTTTGAAATACTCAATTACCTTCAGGATATTTGACTGCAAATAATACAAATATATTTGAGCTACACTCCGTCCAAAGGACAACATATCTTTTGTATTAGGAAAACGAGCATTATGGCATATAAATAAAACATTTCACATTGTTGGTCCATTGTAATATGAGCACATCAACAATAATAGGTCGGCTTGAGAATGTATGACAAATGCATTCTTGATTGACTTAGGTATTCATAGTCCGATCTTTATGTTAATTGTGGCGTTTAAATATGGCATTGAAATGATGCAAGACTAACTTTCAATTTTCTTTTATTCATTTTTGGGGGATATATTATATAAATGTAGGGGTATGCTTGCAAAGTCTAACGATAGTTATCGAGATTAGGAAAATGGAGATATCGAAAGAGACATTAGAAAAATTGCTCAAAATTATTTTTTTCTTCATTTTCGATAGTTTATCAAATAGTTTAAGCTATGCATTAGAAACCATGTCTATTGATAGTTATCGATATTAGTAAAATGAGCAGAGATATCGGAAAAGTCAAAGTCGCAATTATATATGAAATTTCCCAGTCTACAGCTTTTGCAGGTCTCGAGATCAAGGCACAGAAGAACATGATATCGACTCAGTTCCTTGTCCCGAATAAGAATATATATATATATTGTCGCCTTACACATAAATACAAATTTTTATATTTATAAGATAATCATTATCAGATAAAAATAATTCTTATTCAAGCGGAAAGATGCTTGCGCATTAAATTGAATTTCAAGCTAATTGAATTTGTTGCATTAAAAATTAAAATTAAAAGCTTTTATGGCTAAATTTGTAGACCGAAGACGCCTGCCAATATACATTTTTCATTTACCCATCATTAAGTCCACAAAAGCTTATGAACATGCGTCAAATTGAGCTATTTCTGTTTACCACTTGATTGCGCTCACCTTTTCGGGACAGGACACTCGGCTCGGCACTGATTGTCGCTGGGCCAAGCCTCAAAACTTCATTAGCCAAAAAGCACGTGCCGAAATTGGGGGAACAGCAACAACAACAACAACAAACACAGAGAGCGGAAAATCGGTAGAAAAAGAAAATCTTTGAAACGTTGAACGCCATAAATTGCACGGCGGCAAAAATAAATGTAAAGTAAATGGCGCTAATTCAAAGTAGATTTATTTATTATGCCATTTTTCTAGCGGCAATGCGCCAAGAAATATGCCTTAAATTTCTTTCTTCACAGCCCGTTGTCGCGCTCATAGCTGAAAATGGAAATGGAAAACTTTAAGACATTGAAAAATACTGAGAAACGTGGGCAAGCAAATGAAAATATACGAGTACGCACTGAAATAATGCAACAAACACAATAAAGATGCCTTGGAAAAAAACCATAGGGCGCCTCATTTGGGGGGCCGTGAGTCGTGAGCTGCGAGCTGTGAGTTTCCTTTGCTAAGTACACGAGCATATTAATTTACGCATCCTGTGGCGCCGCCTTTGAGAAGCGACACACCTGCTGCGACAGACGCGCATCGCCTCATCTCTCTTCTCATCTGAGGCCGCAGGCGCTTGCTTAGTCGCAGCCGCCTGAACGTCGGCTGTTGATTTTGGCCATAATGCTAACGCATTTAAGCCAATTTTCGTGTCAAGTCTCAATGATTTATTAGCCGGCATTGCAGACAGAGCCTGCCGGCCCCAATCCAAGCAGCGCCAGCTTAACGCCCGCAAACGACTGAGCCTAAGCGAGATGAGGTGTCAACAACTGCCTTAAAGTTGCACAAATTTGTCGACAATTTGTAAATGCCTTCTTTCTCTTAGGCTGATGATTACAATTAGGCTGGAATTCGACAAATGGTGTAGGTGGAGCTGAGTTATTTGTGTGGCAAAAAAAAAGTGTTGTAGAAGCGAAAGACTTGCATACGAACAGCTTAATAACTCACTAGTTTACTCATTTGAAATTATGAGAATTGCATAGAAAGGCGTTTGTCATAGCAGTTCCGAGTTGAATCACGTGTGAAATAACTCAAATAAATGTTACTTTAGACTTTAATATACTAAAACAAATAGTTTTCCACGCACTTAATAAGTAATTATGAGAATCGAATAGAGAGGCACTCTTTAAACTGAGCGAGTACTTGTTCATCAATTTGCTAATCAGCATTTCATAATATTTCAGTGTATTTCAATTCAGCTTAGAATATCTCTATTTTCCTAACCCATTCAATGTCCAAATTGCATGTTCTGCTCTCAGCTCACGTACATCACGCACACAGGTGCTTTTTCACACTCTAAGCGAGCGGGCGTAGCTTGGAACCTTTCAGTTTTAAGTTCACATACGCTTAGTAATACTGTGTTTGTATGTCTTTAG